TATGACTTCATTGATTGTTCGATTATTTGGGGAAGCTTGAGTAAAATATAGGATTAATTGGTATATACTAGTGTATTTGTGTGTACATGTATCTTAATAATCTGATTTTACATATTTGTGTGTGTGTCGGGGGGGGGGGGTAAGGAACAATATACACACCAAAAAACATTTGTAACCAAAGCTGAAATGTTTTATGTTAAGGTAAATCACTGTTTGCTCAATACACCTAAAAACATTAGCGCACCAAAGGACTCTGAACATTTGCATACAATTTTCTGTGGGGCGTAATGACTACAGATAACTTGTTAGAAACTGGATCAGTATTTATGTTTGCCCCCAAGGAAAACTCAGTATTCGTATACATGTAATATACTAATGTCAGATTCATGGCAAAGTTTTATTTATTTTCATTTAATAAACTTTTAAGCCTGTGGTAATCTGTTATTTGTGTGATCTATCTGCTCGGAATTGAAAATATACTAGTAGTTAATCTTTGATCCGCTCCCAAAAATTTTGAACTGACACTACAAAATTTTTAATCAGAAAGAGAATGGAAATACGTGTAAGGAAAAGAAAGAAAATAACGGTATTAATCTTGTTTGTGGAAATGCACCTTTCATTTTTACATTTTTAAGTTGAATTTAAAAGAAAAACATAACAGTCAAATCCAGTCACGATTTCTAACAAATAAGGAGGGGGGGGGGAAGGTAAAAAGTAGTTATGATTTCAATGACAACAACGAAAATCTCAATTAAATTTTAAGGTAGAGTGTTCTTTTAATCATATAATTGTCCTGAATTCTGCATATATTAAAAAAAGAGAAGTTTCTAGTTTTCTACACAGTCATGTATATCCTGACTGAAATCTTTATTTGAAAAAATGTTTTAAAATACAGTAGACATGCAATTCCCTTTCTTCTCAAAGTTGTGAAAAAGAGAATTAACAATAGAGATATATCAAAAACATAATAAATTAAAATTAGAAAAAGGATTCTCTTTTAATTTCATCAAGAGTATTTTGTATCAATTTGACTATAGTTATAGATAGGAGATGATTGATATATTGTGATTGACCTAGTTTTATAATCATCTGATACTCTTATGAAGAAAATCGTGATGAGTGTGTTTGACATTACCTCCACGTTCCGTATAAAGCAATGCATTTCACTATCCATAATATCATAAAATTATAGTTAAAAATACATTAAGTCAAAAGTTGTATTGTTGGGTCGGGATACTCCACACACCCTCCCCCTCACAAAACACGCATGAGCGCTTAACGATGTAACCGAGGATTAGTAGTATTAACTCAATTGCTATTGACCCAAGGGCATTTTAACCTGGACCAAAAATGATTTGGTTAAGGTTATCTGCAGAAAAGGTTTGATTTGTTCCCGAGGTAAGAATAAGTTCGCCAAATGGACACAGCAGTATATTTTAGAAGCTTATGGTACCTGCGTCTTGACCTTGTAAATAAGGGATTTCTGCCCTTTTAAAAGATGAAAACTGCTTAAAATATTAATTCCCTTGTGAAAAGAATTATTTCTTTATAAATTTATAACCTTATAAGATATCGCAGCAAACAGTTTACCAGAAATCTTTTGTTTCTGATGAATAATATCAATCCTCAATTTTTCAGGCATGTGTCACTTGATTTTTAAAAAAGCTTCTAAATTAAAAGAAGAAGCCTGCTGGAGAAAAAAATGTGAATGTCAAAGCAAAATCCATTATAAATCACGTGATATTAAATTCTGGTATATTAAGAGAAAGCACAATTGTTTTTTTAATAAGAAATTCTTCACTTATTGATATTCCAACTTGTGTGTTTTACTACATACGTATAATAACACATTCTTATATTCTCAAAGGTTTTCTTAAGTGTTTCCAAAAATCATAGTCAAGTGGTTTACATATGTACAAAGTGAATTAAGTAATTAATCATTTCTGCAATGAATTCGTCTTCCAAAAACAATCTACCTGTATACATGTCTACGTGTTGTTTTATTGCTGAAGTTGATGGTGTATCTTTAGACGACCGTATAATGAACTGTTAGGGAATTGCTTTTTTATTTGGTCGTCTCTCTCACCATTTCAGTTTCCAGTAGTTTATCGGCCTTCCATCACTTCTTCAGATCCAATCACATCTTCTCGGGTCTTTCCGGCAAGCTCGGAAAAAACAAAAGAGAATGTAGTTGGAATAAACGTGCTTTATTTTAATTGAATGATGTAAAGAGATAACGCACAAATTGTGTCCAGAGTATAATATATATACATGTACATGTATATACAAAAACAATATCAAAAACTCTTATGAGTATAAACTGGATACTAATCTTCCAATATGCCGATATATATACATGTGTATGGAAATTTCTACAATGTTCGTTGACTAGACTAATAATTCTACGACCTTAACCCCCAAACATAGATCAATATACACATTATAGTTTATTATTTCCCAGTGCTGTCTTGATTCTCTATTAGACGCCCCCGTGGAGTAATTTTGCAGACATCTCATTATATTAGTCAGATTTACGGATGATTACGATTGGTTTAAGCGATCTATGGTGGTTATCAATCACCTAACTTTAAAGTCTGTACTGGTGGTCAGACTTTTGACTAGTTCAATGATAGATAGGTAATCAAGCTCATATCTTGACTAACTTCCCAGCGTTTATGTTTTAATTAAACATCGAAAGAACTCTAGGAAGTCTGTAGTATATTAATCAACTTAAATATGCGCCATTTACGTACAATCATGATCATGATATGAAGGAAAACAACATGACAATGAAGACATGATCATGCTTCTTAAATGTTTTTTTTAAACTATCGATTTCATAAATACAATTCGTAATGTATTTTATTTTGTTAACAACCTTTACTTAAAGCCCAGGCTCAACTTGTGCACGTCACACACGGTGTTTTCACAACCTATGCAAAATATTATATAAATATTGGCTTTCCAGCTTCTCCCATTGAAGGTATTCACGCATGCATTTAAAAAATGTGTAGAATAATGCAATAAGTTACCCCTCAATAAGAAATAATTGTTTATAATCATATGAATAATAAAAAAAAAAACGAACTTGCAATATTGCTTCTTCAATTAAAATTGAACTGGTGAATTTATACGTTTACAACGACGTTTTATCAATTAACAATAGTTATTTCCATTCATATGTCAACTCGATGTATCCCACTGAAAGCGATATAAAAGACACCACAGAATCTGGCACGTCTGTTTCATATTTGGAAGTTTTACGAGAGAAGAAAGACATTGATGGCAAACTGACACTAAACTTTATGATAAACGTGATGACGTGATGACTTCAACTTTTCTATCGCCAGCTTCCCTTACTTACTCATTATATATCTTCACTGCAGTAGTGCTTCATTGCAAAAGTGATAAAATATATAGATAAAACAACTCATGCCTGGGCCAACTTTAAAATAATATTTGTTTGCCCTCTCCTGACTCAGGATGAAAAAATTGGGTCTGTAGGTAGGTGGCAATATTTTCTCCAGAAAATTTCAACATCAATGCTGATTTTTTTCAAAATTTATTTTCCAGAATGCATAAATAGTTTCCTGGAGGATAAAAAAGTATTGAGTCGTGTCATTTTTGGACAGTCGGTTGGTGAGAGCAACCAAACAAATTTTTAAAGATGGCCCTGTTTGTTGATGTTGTTTTCTTTTAATATGTTGTTATGGCTGTCTCATATGTATGTGTGAAGATAACGAAAAATACATTTCGTAAAATATATAATTATATAATATGAGTACTTATTAATATTACAATGACAATGTTAAGATTTAATTTTTTTAATCTGTGCATAGTATATTCGTATAAATAACTATTATCATCAAAGCTTCGTTTCACGTCTCACGAACCATTTACACTGGATACATTTAATAAGTTTTAATCCTAAAGTTTCATTGTATTCTCGACTAGAATTTTTTCCGTGAAATTGTGGTTTGAGTGTTTGCAGCTTATCGTCAACCAGGGTTAGGGTTAAGGTTCAACCCTTATAGTTTTAGGGCAAGGCAATCATGCTCTCAGCTGCAAATAGAGAGGTTGAGATTTCATACGTGTGCGTGTACGGGTACATCTAGTAGGGGAATTCCCTAAATTTATTGCGTATTACGTCATCAGTTTTGGTGTTGATGAATTTTCTACACGTTCCAACAACTTGTACAAAGGCATCTACACGTACGTGTAAACTTGTAGCTTTTTCAATCAAAACTAGTAAATTTATGTGTGAAACTGTTATTGTTGTTAATTATTTAGGGTGTTAAGTTTCACGAACACCTATTTTAACCATGTTTTGTTCACTAACTAAAGTCAAACGAATGTCAAAAAACTACTAAATAGTTGAAACACAGACACCGATTACAGTATACACGTTTATGTTATATGTCATTAAAATCTCAACATACAAATTACGAAAAACGTGTACGTGTACGTCAAAGTTTGTGCACACGTACACGTACGCGTACAAGTTTAAAATCTCAACCTCTCTAATATTTCTGTTTCCTATACGTACCAGTAAATTATAACACTTTCTTGCAAACTTATGTAAATATGCCGATTTTAATAACAGTAGCATATCTGCATTCTAGGGACACCTTATCAAATTTAATTTATAAAAAAATCTTGCTTTTTAATAACAATGATGACTTACTGTGTTCGTCCACCTTCACATCTTTTATACCTGTAATTAGAACTCGTTCTCAGATCTATCTTTAATCCTCTTTTTGCCCTACTTTCTCTTTCAGATATTGATGAAGAATGTGAGCCACTCAAACAGCCACAATGTCTTGGTATTTTCCCCTCTAACTTGACCTCTTTTCCTAATACCGAACTAGACTTTGACACCCAAGTGGAAGCAGGAATACAATTTCATTCATTTGCTCCCTTACTGAAAACTAAATGCAGTCCATATTTGCTACCCTTTCTGTGTGGATCTCTTTATCCTATCTGTATCAATGTAACGGTTGTGCCACTTTGTCCGTATCTCTGTTCAATGAGTCGTCAGGGATGCGAGGGTATCATGAAAAAATGGGGTTTTGATTGGATAAAATCAATGCGGTGTCTTGACCTCGACTTTGAGGCACATGACGAATGTCTTGGAGCTAATGGTGTAGAGAAAGTAGGTAAGAAATGATCACCCGCCACTGCTTCGTGTCCCCTGCTTACCTGATGTAACGGCTTGTGACGTCATTCATTGGGTGGTCTAAGGAATCGGGCTAAAACGTCGTGCTTGAAATCACCTAATCTGCTTTTCAGACGAATCACCTTTAACGAGATACGCATTTAAGAAATCGCACTTATTCAAAAAGCACAAATGATCACGACCATGCAAATGATTTTTAAGCTTTGGTTACTGGCACCATTGGCATTTCACTCATGTATAAAAACTCAACTCCTCAAGCTTAAAACAGTTTAGAGCTTTCAAGCAAGAGCTTGTTATATACATGTTATTAGAAAGCCATTGTATTCAATTTTGTGAATTTATGCACATCTTTATTGCTTACAAGAGGTTTAGTGCATTGGCAATAAATAATATTTTGACAAATTTGTTAAAAAAAACAAAACAAAATGACATGCATTTTTCAAAAAGAAAAAGTTTGTAATAGGAAAACGGCTAATAAGAAGTTAACCAGAATCTTACTCAAGCTTAGCTAGTTCATCAACCATTATACAGTATCAATTCAATCTCAGCTGAAAACGGTAAATAAAATTGATGCTCACAGTTCCTGTGTCATCCATCTGATAAATTCTGCATGGAATTCATTGGATTTACTATGAATATGCTTGTACAAAAATGTCAATGTAAATATATTAACCAAGACATGTAGATCTTTGATTACTACCTGATGAAATGTCAGTTTTATAATATTGTATTTTTCAAATACATGTAAGTGTGAAAAAGTTTTCCTATAGTATAATTATCTCCCTTTTTCCCTAGAGTCCGCCGGTTTCCTGATTTTTTTTTTAATAGTCGTTCAAAATTGATTATAACTTGTACCTTTAAATTTAGAATGGTCACTTGCTAAAATGAATGGTTTTCTTACCTCTCAAACTTTGATCAAGATGGCAAAACGGTCACAAATATTGCAACAACAGTTGTATTTTTTTTTCCAGTTTTCCAATCTCTCATTTACATATTTTATATTTTAGAGCTGTTTATTAGATTACAAGATGGACCAGATTCTTCGAAATCCAAAGGACGTGTTGAGGTCTCTAAAGACAATGTCACATGGGGGACTGTTTGTGACGATTTCTGGGATAATGATGCAGCAACTGTCGTCTGCAAGCAGTTGGGGTTCCGATGGGGTGTAAGTATCTTATAGATGGCCTATTACATAGGATATTCATTTTAAGAAATGTAAATAATTTGAAAGTTTATGAAGGCATTGATAACTTCATTTCGTCATGGTGCAGTGTTTTTGCGATCTTAGAAAGAGTGATCGAGAAGGCCTTAGGGATTGATTCTTATGTTCGTTTTCCTGAATTCTTAAATGTAAAGGGATTTAATGATCATTAAAAAAGTATTTAGAGTTTAATAAAGTACTAGAACAAACTGTGAAACACTTCCACTCTTCTCAAAGCGGTAGGCTATTTTTCCATTGACTTGGACCCTAAATTATAAATTCCGATATAAGCTTCAAATTATATACCAATTAGAAGCAGGCCCGTAGGAAGCGAATTCAGTTGGCAGTTGGGGGGGGGGGGGGGGGCACAGCCATACATTTTCAGTTGTCAGTTGAAGGGACACTACCAAAAATTTCCTGACAAGCCAAAAAAAAAAGGTCATCAGACGTTTTAATTAATACTCTAGTACAAATATATGTTACAAATTCTTTGTACGTATGCTAATTACACACACACACACACACACACACATATATATATATATATATATATATATATATATATATATATATATATATATATATATATATATATATATATATATATATATATATATATATATATATATATATATATATATATAAAGCATTTATTATTGGTAATCCCCATCTGCTATATAATCATCATCATCTTCTTTAGTTAGTTTCTTTTCTTTTCTTTCAATATCGACATGTTGTTGCTATCAATTTTGAATTTCTTCTTCTGTATATTATTCTTTACTTGTATGCCATGAAGGGCCCCAAATTGGTATCAATAAATCTTATCTTATATCGGCAAAATTATGGGGGGGGGGTGGCACGCCCCCCCCCCCCCCCATCTTACGGTCATGACAAGCGTTTATATAATTTCTTATTCGGGGTTCGATGATAGATGTGCATATAGTTCTTTTTTGGTTTGGTATTTCTTCGGCCATATCAATGCGATTTCTCCATCCGGAACTCCAGAGCAAGATATATTGGTTTTGTAATTTATTCTCTTTAAGATGGCGGGAAGGTTTGTTTCATGTTTGTCAACGACTGTTCATTGATTCAATATTTGTCCAAATGTTATAAGGGCCTGGTAGGAATTTCATCATAATGATCATTGGTATTGTAGCTAACTAGTTATTGATTATATATACACTAATGTGTAACATTATTCTAGAAAGATTACTATTAATTGTATATCCTGGATATAGACTAGATCTATTAGAATCATCACAGTTAGAATTCGTCCCATATAAGGCATAAGAACTTTGCAATGTAGCAAATCGAATCGGATCCGCTCCGAAATGATTTGTAATAATACAAAAGGGATTGCACTGAAAATAACAACCAAATTAATCAAAACAAACCTTTTTGAGTTTGTATATGCCTTTTATCCTAAAAAAGAATCCATATAACAGGTTGGGACCAATCGCCTTAATGAGATATAATAGCCCGATGGGGATATAATATCCCAAATGGGATATAAATTTACAGTGCAATAAATGAAAATTTTTATTTTGGCTATAAATATCATAAATCTGCATCAGAATTTTTAAAAAGGAGTAACTTTTGGCTTACAAGTTTTTCTGCAACCCTACAGTTTGTTAGATTGATCCCCAAGAAGTTTAGGAACTTCCGAGGGATCAATCTCATAAACAGTGGGCATTCAGAAAAACTTGTAAACCAAAAGTTATTCCTTTATAAGTATGTTGATGCGGATTTATGATATTTATAGCCAAAATAAAATTTTTCATCTTTTGCACTGTAAATTTATATCCCATTTGGGATATTATATCCCAAACGGGCTATTATATCCCATTTGGGCGATTGGTCCCAACCTGTATAAAGACGAATATTCAACTCAGTTTTTCATTGTTTTTTCTCGCTTCAAATTTACAAGCCATGTTTACATTCAGAACACTCTGGATTGTTCGTAGTAAATGCACTGAGTTCGATTTATCACCTGTGTTTATTTTGCTACATTGTTAATATACAGAGCAAATTCCATCGTTAAACCGTGTCCGTAGGACAATATCATTTTAATGATAGAACGTTCTATCTATTGTACTATTAGCCTTGAATGTCTCGACAATTTTCGTGCATACTATGTGGCCTTCAAAGTAGTTCCATTTCGTTATAATGACCACAATAAAGGAAGATCTGTACTGGTTTGTGTTTGTAATAGTTGCAATAGATTCTTTCCAGCTGTCCTGTTTCTAATAAAGGTCCCAAATGAAGGATCCGTATTCAAAGGTTGATCGTACCAGGAGATACATTCTGTTTTTCTGCAGTTTTCTGTACAGTATGATAAGTTCCATCAGAGGAAACCTAGTTTGATTAAGCTTTTTTTTAGCTCACCTGAGCAGAAGGCTTAAGTGAGCTTTTCTGATGGAAATTTGTCCATTGTTGTCGTAAACTTTTCACATTTTCATCTCCTTTCTCCAGAACCAATTTCAACCAAATGTGGCATGGAGTATCCTTGGGTGAATTGGATTCAAGTTTGTTCAAATGAAGGGCCACACTCTCTTTCAAAGGGGGATAATTAAGAAATTATGAAAATTGGGTGGGGTAATTTAAAATCTTTAAAAAATCTTAAAAATATTCCTCTCAAGATCCACTGGGCCAGAAAAAACGTAACTTATGTGAGAGCTTTCTGCGTGAAATGTAGATTCAATTTGATCAAATCATGACCCTTTGGGGTAAGGTAGGGCCAATATTGGTGATCAAAGTTTTACATAGTAATACATAGGAAAAGTCTTTAAAATTCTTCTTCTCAAGAACAGCAAGGTCATGATTAGTCATATTTGTTTGGAAGATCTTCAGGTAGTGTAGATTCAATTTTGTTCAAATCATTACCCCTGGGGGTAGGTCGGGCCATGATGGGTGGTCAAATTTACAAGGAAATACATAAGAAAAATCTTCCAGTGAACAGCAAAGCCATGATTAGTCATAATTATATAGAAGCATCCTCAAATTCAAGTTTGTTCAATCAAGACACCTGGGGATGGGCTGGGGTAGGGTGGGGCCATAGTATATTATCTTAATTTTACAAAGGAATATTAATAGGGAAATAATCTGCTGATGAAGAACAGAAGGTCAATAGTTACTCAGGTGAGCATCATGGCCCATGGGCCTCTTGTTGAGATTGGTTTGTGTCAGTGTTACTTTCCTTTCTACATTTGTCAATATTTTACTACAAATACATGTAAATTCAGTGATAGAGTTTATTGATCCAAAGGCCATAATGCAGGGTTTTAAACTAAGGCCAAAAAAAATAATAGTCTTGTTTCCTGCTACCAGCCTGAAAAAAATAGGGTAGGTAAGTAGGAAAATTATTTTATTTTAATTTTTTATTTTATTTTTTCTGACCACCTTTTTGGGATATGAACTAATACAAGATCAAATTAATTAAACATGTCACAGGTCAATATTGTCTTTTTAAAATTAAATTTCATGTCTTTTTATGCACAACTCAAGTGGTTTTTTTTTTTTTAATAAAAGTATATATTTAAAACAAGAATTTCATGAAATGCTTGTTTTGTGTTAACACGGAAACCGATTATGGTGACAGAATGATGAAATTCTGGAATTTCCCAATTTTTTTCTTCCAAAGCTAAAAAAAAACTTTAGGGTCGGGTGCAAAAAAATAGGGTAGGTCGGGTAGCAGGAAACAAGACTATTATTTATTTTGGCCTAACTTGTAATCCTTGCTAGCCATGTGGGCTTCTAGACTTTGTAATTCTGGGGACCACATCCAAATTTATTTGCCCCAAAATTATCACACCTTCTGTTAAAAGAAAAAAAAAATTTTGTTCACTTCTTATTCCTAGGTTCATGATGAACTTTTCTATTGGTTGTACATATGTAACATTATGCACATCTTAACTTAATTTGAAGTCTCTTGTATTCGTGAAGATTGATATGGTTACTCTGACTTACTCAATTTTAAGATGTAGAATATGTGACACATTTTCATTCACAAATAACAACGGTAATTTGTGGTTTCTTGGGATCATTGGCCTGTTGATGCCACATTGTGTGCATCACAATCACTTAGGTGCTTTATGTAGTAGTGCCCCGTACTGGTAATTATGAAACACTATACTGATTATTAGTGATTAAGAAATTTTTCAAAAGAAAAATACAAAATATTGGACAAATTTGGGAATCAAAAATTTATTTATCATGAATTTTTGAATGGCTATGTGGGCAATTTAAACGTAATTGTAAGTCGCCCACATGGAAAATAAGTTGCAGATGGCAAGTGGGCGACTGTTAAATTTCAAACCCTGTAATGTTTATGTTTTATAATGCAAACAAGAGATAATAATTATGATGTATTTCTCCAGCTTGAGTGGGTCTAGTTAGAATAAGCTGAGTCTTAGAATAGACAGGCTCACTATAGTTAGAATATGTTCCATTCAAAGACAAAATATGCATTGATAAGAATTACCTGTTGCTTTTCATTTTGCAAGGAATGAGCTCTATCATTAAAGCAGGTCCATAAGACAGTATCTTTTAAATGCTCTATCTACACTTTGCCATGAGGGGATACATTATGGTTTTGATATGGCTATCTGTCTGACCATTTGTAACAAAATTGTGTTTTGGCTTTAACCCTAAAACCTTGAAATGAATTCCACACTTGAGAATATTGGTGCTTTTGACTCATTGTCATAGATACATGTATATGATCTTGACTCAAGGTCATATTTTAAAGTTGAAGGTCACTTGTCCTTGAGATTTATAGTTTGCATATGTGTGTAGCTGTTTTTCAAATTTCATGTTGAAAAACTCTTATTGCAATGCTATTATGAGTTAATTTTAGTAAAAATATCCAGTCAACATATTTATAATAAATACTTCTTTTTAATCTCTTTCAGAGTTAAACTAATGATATAATTTATAATTGTACTTCTTCTTAAGAAATAGACATAAAGTTTTTTTTTTAAATTGTAAAGGGGGGGGGGGGGGGTGAGATTGACAAGAGAAATTAATTAAAAAGTATTTAAATGTCACAGAAAGTAGGAGGCCCAGTTCCCTGGCCCCTCATTCTATTTGTTTAAGAAAATATTTTTTGATTTCTTGGAAATGAAAAAGGAAATCCTGCCTGATTGACATATGTTTTTTTGTTTTCTAGATAGCACACTCACTGTCTCATTTTGGTCCGGGAGCACCAGGGCAGCCCATTTATTTTGATGAGGTTGTCTGTGATGGCGATGAAAAGTCTCTGTTAGACTGCAACTCCAATAGCTGGGGAACCCACAACTGTAATCACCAGGAGGATGCGAGTGTCTCTTGTTACAATGTCACAGGTAAATTAACCAGTCTGTTAGACTACAACAGAGCTGGGGAACCCACTACTGTATATTATAAAGTCACAGGTAAATTTACCAAATCACTGTCAATGACATGTGTTATGATGTCATAGTTGAACCATAAGGTATTGCTTTTTCCACATTGTTACAACGGAACATGTGTTTCACTGAATGTTAATCAGTATAAATTTAAGGTTGACATACAGTAATAATCACAGTTACAGGGAGTTTTTGTGCCTAGGGATACTTTGAATTCCGTGAAAAAACAGACACCTGCCATGTATTGTGCTAAAGAGAGCAATGATGTGTTATCACTTGACAAAACAGTGATTTGCAGTTATGCATTTTTATTGCGGCTCCTCTTATTTCAACTGTAAAAACAAACAACAATTCTGATACATTTATATATATATAAGTAAGATTTGAAAGGAAAAAATAAACAAAAAGGTGATGTATGACTCAGGTGGGCATCGTATGCCAAAAGCCACTTTGTGTCATTCCACTGTTGAATTCAATTTTGTGTACGTAACACATTCCTGCAAGTGACAATGAATTTTACCACAAGTGCAATTTACTAATTATGGGGTATCATATATGGTTTACATTGAAAAAGAACATGTTCTCAAGAAAATATAAATAAGAATAGATCAATTCTAATTTCAGCACGTTTAAATTATGCACTGGATCAGAAAAATGTTGGGACCGTTGAAATCAGTGGAAGCAAGGGCTGGTCTCTGGTGTGCGATGAAGGCTGGGATGATAAGGATGCCGATGTCTTGTGTAGGGAGCTGGGATTTGTCTCCGGATTCGCCATGACCAAGGCTGAAATGTATATGGTAGACGAGTCGTCCTTTACAGATGCCTATTGGAAATTTAACTGCACTGGGAAGGAAAGCAGTCTGGCCAATTGTTCCAAGGTGGATTACTGGCAAGGTCATTGTAACAGTGATAGCTTAGCTGCAGCTGTTTGTCACAACAAGGAAAAAGACAAGGTCAATCGAAGTAAGTACTCCCAGTGAGTGATGATTCACTCACATGTCGATCTTAGTGGAGAGAGATTAGAAAGCATGCACTCATTTCATGTTAAGTTGCATAATACAGTCAAAATTCATTATCTCAAACTTGATGGGACTGAGGAAAAACTTCAATATATCCAAGGATTTGAGATATTGATTGATTGATTACTATTGTTTAAAGTTGAGTTGGCAATACTTCAGCCATATTTCGGTGATCAAGATATTGAGGTAAAATGCTTAAGATCAAGATCTAATGAATAAAAGGTGCCCACAGATTTCTCAAATTTGAGATACACATTCTTTTAATGATCCTTTACGAATATAGCTTGGTAAAATAAGGTGTATCCGGACATAATTTTGGGGTAAACTCATCAGAAAAACATATTATATACTGCCCATTTTCAATGAAAAATGAAGAAAGTCTGGTATAAATATGGGAGTTTTTTCCATCTCAGACAAAGGAAATGTATCAATATTGCCTATAGTCTCTCAGAAAACAGTTTTTCATATCTTCTTCATCTCTACTTTAAAATGATATTAAACGGAATAAGGGTTTCGGAGTTACATTTGACATGATTTCAAATTGAATTTCATGAAAGTGCTTTATTTTCTACATAATTCTATTGAAGCCGTAAAGTACTGGAAAAATTAAGTTTAAATCAATTATGATGTCATAATGAATCTAGCACCAAGAAGAAAGTCTAAACTCATTTACTAGATCTTGACCTTAAAGGAGAAGTGTTTGGTACTTCCAGCTCACTTCAACATATCCCTGCTATTGGAGATATGAGTTTTGAGATACCAAAGTTATGTGGAAAAACCAGACTGGTTGATAGTTGTTATATTTATTTGTTTTGTATAAATTTTTGGAGTCTGCATGCATTGCTTGTAGTTCTTTTAGATTTACAGTGTTTAAAAATTAACTTTTATATGAAGAAGTGGTGAAGTAAGATGAATCATTGTTGTTGAAGGCTAAATAGGACATCATGTGATTTTATATTTGCTTTTTTCAATCTGAAATGGTGAATACTTGCTAGGCTTACAAAGATAATATATTCTATTTTAACAAGTTGGATATAAAAGCAAAATATAAAATCACACAGTTAAACAGAGTTAAGATGTCATTACATGTATCTTATGTGATTTGGTCATCATAAAATAAATTTGAGACAGTAATGAGTTTATTGAGAAGTTACCCAGACAGATCAATTTTCAGTCTGAATTGTTTTGAATTACCTAGTACCTAGTCATGTTTTTGATATTCACATATACATGTATCAGGTCAAATATAACACCTTTGAAAGATAGAAGTTTAGATAAATTTAAAAGTAAAGTAAATTAAGATGTCTCTTTAAACGTTAAAAATATTCCGAGGTAAATTTATGAAACCTTGGTGATTTGAGTTAATTGTTAACATTGTCAGTATAATTGTTTTGACTAAGGATTATTACAGTTTGAATTCTTTGTTTCACTCTACTGATCAAGCTTCAGTCAAATCTTTTGGTAAGTTATATTTCTATGTCATAATATATAAATTATGTGAAACTTTCCACATCTAAATACATTTTTTGTTTTGAGTAGTTAGGGGGAGGGGGGGGGGGGGGCACTGCAGAGAGATGAAACATGTAACACCTGTATAATAATAGAAAATTTAAAGTGTCATTAACAAAATGTAAAGCAAGTAATTAAAGTAGTCCAAACTAGAAGTGTGACCCATTGACTGCAGTCATAGCAGGATTTCAGTTTCAAATATAATATCAATACATATACTAGTGTTAAGTGAATCAACAGGATCATGATTATTTTGATTTTATATTCGAAAAAGTCATATACATGTATACATGCATACTTCTTCAAAATTTGAAAGAAGTGAAGGGTTTTCTGTAGTATGTTCTAATATGTAAATTCATGATACAAATATTTTTGGTCTAATGACTTCCTAATGAATTCCCAAAAATGAATTATTCATAAGTTAACTATTAGCCTTTTCATGATTAAAATACATAAATTACTCTAAGAAAACCTAAGCATTCTTGTAATTTAATGTTCTAGAACATGTATATAGACATTTTCTGTTGCTCTTTAATAAAATAACTACCTCGCTATCACATGCAAGGTCATTAAAAAAAAGAATCAATTTGTTGCATTTGTTTTAAGCATATAGTTAATGTCAAGGTCATTTAGCAAAGTGGCATATGGGATAGCAACATGCAATTACGGTTTTAAACAACAACACCAAGAAAATAATAATATTGATAATAATAAAATGAGAAGAAAATGAAACCTTAATTAGGTAAGGTCATTATTTAAGTTTTATGTATTAATTAAACCAGTGAAGTTTCCCATAACAAATGAAATACTAGTAGAGACATTCATTACATGATAATAAAAATATTTTTCTGTGCAATGAGCTGTAACAAGTGACTATTGACAATATTCCAGGCATACATATACATGTATATTATCACTTTTAACAAACTATGTTTTGTAAACAAATTAAAATTATTAACTTCAGAATTCTTTCCAAACAGGAGTGTTTTTAGATGAAATATTTGTGTGTTTTTCAGCTGTTGACTTGCGATTAGTGGATGGAGGGGAGAAATGGGGTCGCATTGAGATTCGCTACCAGGAAGTTTGGGGACATATTTGTGATCACACCTGGACAGACTCTTCAGCAGATGTTGCTTGTAGACAACTTGGCTTTAAGGGTGGGATAGCATATGGAACTTACAACACACCCAGCAAAGTAGCATGGATCTCCTATCTCAAATGTACTGGGAAAGAAAAAAGACTAGAGGAATGTTCTACGGGTCCCAAGGCAATGTGGGAACCATTCTTTGGATGCACAGCTGCTTCAGTACTCTGTTACAATGAATCAGGTTTGAAATTCTTAAATATAAAAGCAAATTTAACATTTCATTGAATTTGCATGTCATTTTTATAATAGTTAGAAAGATAATTTCAAGGAACAATTTCCTGAGATGTAAGCTCAAGTTAGCTTTTCTGATCGTTGATTGTCCCATGTCTGTTTCTTCATCCATCTATAAACTTTACACATTTCATACTTCAAGAACAGCTGGGCCAATTTCAACCAAACTTGTCACAGAGCACCCCTGGGTAAATAAATTATTGGAGATTCAGAATTCTCCAAATGAAGGACCATGTCCCCTTTCAAGGGGAGATAAACAAGAAATGGGGGTAGAGTGTGGCTAAAAGGGATCAGATTATTTCCTCTTGTTCTTTCAAGTGACATTGACCCTCTTTGTGACCATGACTTCTTATATTTGCTTATTTGCTAAGTATTGTAAATGGACAAATCTTCATATACAGACATTTTTAGAGAAACAAGAGAAATATGTAATTGATTGATTTATTTTTAAGTTGAATGTTTGATTTAAAACAAATACATCTTTGGAAGAAAGCATTTAAATTGTACTAAATTTTGTGACCTTAACCTCACATTTCCCAACTTTCTGTTCATTCAATTCTGGCACTTAGTAAGGGTTTCAATTCACATAATTGTTATACAAGTATTTAATTATGCTTTAATTATTTACTTTTACCCTTCCCATGATCTTAGCCTTGCATTTTTTTTTGTTTTTGGAATCCAAATGTACATTGTAGCTTACAGACAACACATTGATTTTGTACAACTTTCATGTTAACATACATTTTGAATTTCTATGTAACAATTTTCTTGAATTGAGCTTTTCTTTTTCAGCACCAAGAGTTTCCATCAAGGGAGGGGGGAGTGAGGGTCAGGTGGAGATCTTGTATGATGGAGTAACTGGCTCTATATGTAACACATACTGGTCTAAGTATGATGCTCGAGTCCTGTGTAAATCCCAGGGCTATGTGGATGGGGAAGTACGAAGCCCCTCTCTTGCCGAGAGACATGTATTCTTGAGCAAAATGAGGTGTGATGGAACAGAAGATTCAATCTTTAGATGTAATAATTCTGGTTGGGATGTGTATGAGACCACAAGGTGTGGAGGGTATGCTACAGTGATGTGCTATAAAAACAGTAAGTCTAAACATTCATACATGTAGATGTTTGTACCAATAAAAAGTACATTTACTTACATACATGTATCTTTCTTTGTAGTAGAACATTCTGTGAAAGAAAATATGACCATAACACCGTAATTTTGGAAATGCTTTATTAAAGGCTGATTTTATGTCCTTGACAATATGTTCTTGAATCAATATTTAAACTTTTCTTATTTAAGCATTGAATTATTATTTTTTGAAAGATGTAGTCTCATAACTGCAACAGTATGTGCAAAGGAATTAAGTTACGCGTGTTAGCGTGTTATGAAAATTTGTTTTCACCCACCATTGCGGTTATGAGACTACCTCTTTCAAAAAATAATATTTCAATGCTTATATTTACATTATTTTAACTACTTGCCTTGTCTGCAAATGTGATTTATATTTCAAAATCCCTGTATTATCCCTCGGATAAGTTACAATTAATGGAAGAGCCATTGCAGCAGCTTCTGCTCAATGTGAACGTGGATTTTGATTTTCGCTTATGACGTTGCACTTGCACGGAGTTCAACGTTGGTGACATCAAAATAAAATGCATACTTTAACCTTTTACCCCCCTGTCCGTGTTGTGGTGTTATGAATGCCGAAGCTTTCCACACACTTTATAAGCAAAATACATGTGGAATGTAAATGTTGAACATTAACAACATGGTTAAGCATTGCAAAATTTAGATTTTAATGAAACACTCGAATTCTAGGAAAGGGGGAGGGGGTGGGGAAGGGGGGAGGGGACTGGATAACTACAGAAGTTTTTTTGTTTAATTAATTAGTTTTTTCTTAACCCAGGCCCACTTGGGTCGCTCAAGCTGCCAAAACCTCTGTACATTGAATGTGAAGCTACCATGTATGCAACAATACCCATATGTACTGTACAATCAAAAAATTTTACATTCTTTTCTTGAATTTCTGAATCATAGATAATTTACAGCAGTAATTTTAAATGAAGAAAGAAAAAAAAAGCAATAAAACTTCAATAAATATTCAATTTTCTTTTTTATTTCAGTCAGATTAACTGGTAGTTTGAACAGCAGAACCAATGGGATTGTAGAAATTCTGTTACACAACACCTGGTATGCTTTATGTGGGTCAGGGTTCAATGACGTCAATGCCCAGGTTGTGTGTAAGGAAATTGGAGGGTTCACCAATGGCACGAAGTTACCCCCAGGGGCATTTGGAAAGTACTATGGGCAAACTGCCATGCCAGACCTGATATGTAAAGGAAATGAGACAAGTGTAATGAACTGCAGTTTTGACCCACTTAAAAGCTGCAGTAATCAACATTATGGCTATGCATCAGTTAGCTGTTTTAATGGAAGTCTTGAAGAAGGTATTGAATATCTTAATTACATTGCTACACTGTAGATACAAAACATGCATGTTTTTGTATATGATACAATATTCCATTGAAATTTTAAGTACAATGTGGTAATGTCTTTTAAGTTTATTACTAGTCTTTTGGCATTCATCAATGCTAGTTAATACATTCCCATACATTTATTGTTAGAATTTTATTTTTGCAGACCAGTATAGTTTAAGAAATGGGGATTATGGAGTTGTTCACATCAAAAGATATGGTACTACAGGAGAAATATGTGAAGCTTTCTGGACTGACAATAATTCTGATGTTTTATGTCGCCAGCTCGGGTATGCGGGAGGGAAAGCGGCATTTTATGGCAGAATTAACAAAAATAAGAAAAATATTGCCCCCATTTTAGCCACCAGCTACGAGTGTAATGGCTCAGAGACCAAGCTGTCCCAGTGTTTAGAATTAAATCCATTCATCTGCTACTCCTCACTTGCAGCAGGAGCCATATGTTACCAATACTCAGGTATGTCACTATAGTGACCTAAGATCTTGAAGTGTAATAAACATAATATTAGGAATGCTAATGCAGAAATAGTAAAGATATTGTGAACATATTTAACTATGTGGTTTTAAATAAATTGACATCTATTTTCAAAACTTTCATGCCAATAGCCAGACTTAGCTCAACTTTGAACAGTTTATGCAAGTACTAGTAGTCAAATAACAGAAGCTTAAAATATACATATATAATTGTATATAATTGTATATAAAGATGCATGAATCCTGGAAAAAGAGAAAAAATACTAAATGTTGAAAGAAACAGTGTCCTTACAGTGAATGAAGTCTCCTTTCTGTTTAGCTCCTCGTGTAAAGTTACTGGATGGTGGGGTGAACTTTGGTCGTGTTGTGATAGATGTCGATGGAGTGGAGAGCACGGTTTGTGACACAACCTGGAGACAACCCGAGGCAAATGTTGTCTGTAGGGAACTTGGATTTGTCAGCGGAGAAAAATATGTGTAAAGAAATATTATTACATCCCCCAAATCAAAGATCGGGGATATATAGGAATCACCATGCACATTCCTCTATCTGCCCCACCTCAGACTCTAACTTCATAATTGGAGGCTTATCGGGGGACACTTTAAGATTCTGACATGATTGTTAATCAGGGTCAAGGTCATAATGTTGAAAAAAGTAATCCCTTCAGTCTTTATTACAGTGATTGTAGAAGCTCATATTTGTCACAAAGGTAGCTCATTACCTGAAAATAATTAAAGATTTGATGACAAGGTCATTTGGGCAAGGTTACAGATACTACATGTATTAAAAATACACTTGCACTGACACATATTACTATAAGTGAGAACTTATCAGCTGTGGCCAATATTTTTACCTTTACCTTCCCTATGACCTCAGTTTTAAAGAATCTGTTCAAGATATTTTCATCAAACTTCATAAAATATTACAAGTTGGTGAGAGCTATTCAGCTGTGTCATTATTTTCTGACTTTAATCTCCCATATGACCTTGACCTCACTATCTCTCAATTATCCTAATCTAAACAGAGAGGCAAGGTACATTTCTTTTCATGTAGCATTACTAATGAACCTTAGACAGAGGATTTAGGTCCTATGGATATATTTCTAGTTAACATTAGGATTACAAAAAAGTCAAACATATACTTTCATACTCAACACAAGGGTTGCTCATGAACTTTCTTCATCTATAACATGTCAACAAGATTAAGCCCTAGGAAGTTGAATGAAATGTAATTCTTTTGTAAGACAGCAAAGTTCTTTCAAGTCTTTGTCATTTACCATTTTTAAGCTGTCCAGCTAGGGGTACAGTACTACATATAGTCCCATTTTGACAAATCTGGTTATTTTTGGATTATTTTTTGAATTCTGTACGTAAAATTCATTAGACTGTGTAAGTATTTAATGTTCTTTGATTCAGTTGTGAATTTGGAATCATTTTATGTCTTATTATTTTCCATGAACCAAAGTTTCTGTTCATATAGTGATATTTGAGCTTATTAGTAAAGATGATGGTGTTCTCTTGAACACTGACTGAATACTGTCCTACCAAGATAGTACTAAATAATTCACTAGTATATTACAGAAATGTAAAGTGATTGACTTGATATGGAAGAGAGCCTGTTGTCTTTTCAGTGCAGGTCCAGGTACTGGAGATGTGAAGCTGTCTAATGTCTGGTGTACAGGGGTGGAGAGTTCCCTCCTTGCCTGTGAGAGCAGTGGGTGGGGTATGGTCACCAGTACAAGCTGTCTAAACCATGAGAATGATGTAGGAGTGTACTGTTTTCAAAATGGTGGGCATAATAAGATACATTTACTAATAATTCATTGAAGCCATATTAATTCTAAATGTGTCATGCCAATATTTTGGTATACCATGCGGTATACAATGCCCAGTTTAGCAGTTTTCTTTCTCGTGGTCATACTATTTATGGTCTTAAGATAAACGTGTCTTAGCTGTGTGAATGATGAGTTATAATGTACTTATTGTTGCATATACACATATAAACAGCAAATGAATATGAAGAGATGAAACAAAGACTTCAGTATTTTTTTAATTTGATTTGCAGTACGTGTAGTGGGAGGGGTTAAGAATTCGGACTACATGATTGGTCGTATAGAGATCCGACAGGAAAGAGCTCGTGAACAATGGAGAACTGTGTGTGCTGATGGTATTCACCAGTCATCAGCTGATGTCATCTGTAGGGAGGTCAAATACGACAGGGCCATCATTATTGCTCCAAGTTTCTTTGGATCTTTAGCTGTTAGCAAAGCTAATAGATATATTGCAGATATTAAGTGTAAGGGAAATGAGACTAGTATCAAAGACTGTAGAATGACCACCGAGAGGAATGGTACCTGTAGTATAGCACATTATAACTACGCCAGTGTCCTGTGTGTCAAGAATACCACCAATGAACAAAGTGAGTATATAGCATCATCAAATACAAGCAAAATTTAGTTAAAGAAGTTTAGTAGGAACCAGAAATATAAAGTATTCAGACATATAGTGAGATGGAATGAAAATGTTTGGAAAGTTTTTAAGCAGTTGTATAATAAAGATCCTACGTACCAGGGTTCGAAATTCACTATATACAACTCGCAAAATGCGAGTTAGAATTCCCAAACTGCGAGTTAAAAATTAGGTTACTCGCAAAAACTTGCGAGTTGATTTTTTTTGCATTGAAACTGTAGCAAAATTATATAATATGACAGAACACAATACTTTTGATTTAAATCAGTAACTTAAATAAAAGTCACACTGTAGTTGTATTTTGTGTATTGTACAGTAGTTACTTTTTCCTTAAGTTACATGTATTTAATTTATATAAATTTATACTTTAAACTTTATATGAAAATTGCGAGTAGTCTTATAAAATTGCGAGTTCACTTTCTTGGTACTCGCAATTATTTGCGAGTTGTAATTTTAGGGAGTTTCTAACCCTGCGTACATCATTTACCTTATATTTATTTCTCTCTTACAATTTTCTTCTCCAGGCTTTACAGTCAAACTGACCTCTGGTTACCATGGTGCAGTGATAATAAATCAGTACAACCAAGATGGCACAATTTGTGTTGATGGCTGGGATGAGAGAGAGGCTAACGTGACCTGTCGACAGTTTGGATATCTTGGGGGAGTGGTGCTGGGGCCACAGGAAGTGTTCACACGTAGAAAACCTGTCTGGTTCTCGGAGTTTAATTGTACTGGAAATGAGAAGAAACTGCAGGACTGTCCCAAAACAACCCGTGTCTCCCTACAGTGTGTGCGCTCTATCAAGGATGCTGGGGTCCTCTGCTATAACAGCACAGGTAAACGTTTTGAATCACGTGATCAGTAGAGTTTGGTATAGGTTGTAGATTCCTTATTTTTATTGGAATAAGATTAATTCTATCTTAAACTGTATTGTAATTGATAGTAAGTAAATTGCTGGTAAATTTAGAAAATATGTGTTTCTCCAAAAAATACAATGAATTTTAAAAAAAAAAAAAAAAAAATTCCATAACCATTAGGGGGAGAAGTGGATTGGCTCTGAATTCTTCTTATGCACTCTTGTCATAGAATTTTTTTTCCATTTAGGTTAAACTTATAAGGCATATGAGTGTACCATCACCAGACATTGTGCTATATGCCCATTACATTGAATTTACTTTCAAATTAAGTTATATTACAAATATTTATAGGATATGAAGATTCATCTTTTAAACAAGGCTTATTTTTGTGTGAGTTTATCATCTTTAGATGATATTCAATTGTATAATATATTATTTTGACCCTATAGGTATGATCCTGAACTTTTTCCTAAGAGTCAGATTATTGACTGAGGAAAAATGAATTTACATGCTAGAAATTGTTCATCATTTAATGTATATTTTAGAATATTTATTTTGGTATCATCACTAAATATGTTACTTATATCATAACCCTATTTCACTCTGTCCCATGAATTAATTGAAGCATTCATAAAAGTGAAAGAAAACAAATTGGACTTTAAATGTTTATGAAGATTCTGTAAATTTAAGGAATAAGTTGTACAATATATGATTCTTTTATTTTGTCAATTATGTTTTTAGGAGTTAAAGTAAGACTAGCAGGTCCAAAGGATTACTATGGAACTGTGGAAGTAATCAAGGATGGTCAGGTAGGAACAGTCTGTGACTATGACTGGACAAAGAATGACGCTCGAGTCCTGTGTCGACAGCTGAACTTCCCTGATGGTCGGCCTTACAAGCGGTCTTACTATGGAGCTGGGAAGGGCTCTGTGGTCCTGTCAGGGTTTTTCTGTGATGGAAAAGAGGACCGCCTTCTGGACTGTCCTAGCCGGGGGTGGTACAATGTCCAGGATTACTGCAAGATTCACCAGAACGATGCCAGTGTCTACTGTTACAGGAAAGGTTAGTATTGGGATACAGGAGAAATTCATAGAAATCAAAAGGAATTTCACTGATCATACTCAATGTTGAATTCAATAAAGAAATATTTGAATACCTTTAGAATACATGTAGGTGAACATCCTGAAAAACCACACTTTTGAGTCACAGGACACTTGTTATTTTTGTAAATGAATTTGTTTTTAATTAGAATTGTTGATTTTTCCAAACTTATTATAGCGGTGTAACTCAGATGACTTTTAGATCTCTTGTAACACTGTCTTGAAATTTTTATGTATATTGTAGTGAACAAGTACCCAGAGAATAAAGATTATGGAGCGGTGAGAGTATGGATGGATGATGTTGGTTCCTACAGCCTGGTATGTGCTGATGGCTTCACAGATACGGAGGCTAAAACAGCCTGTATGGACATGGGATATGTGTATGGCAAAAGTGTCTGCTGCTCGGCTTTCGGAGATATAGACGGAAAGGTATACTTACAACAGATTATTGTGTGTGGTCTCATTCTTGTGTGAATTGATTTTTCTAATCATAGTTTTACTGAATGTATCCTTATTCAGTTGTGTTAGAATATTAGCAGAAAAATGCCGTGAACTATGTAATTCGATAAATCTGATTGGTTTGCTTGCTATCGTGTGCAAAATAATATTTTGCGTGTTCACTTGAGTTACTAAAAATATCTTAAGGAAAATCCAAAAATGTGTTTATAATGGTTAAAAGTCTTTAAAACTTACAAATTCCTACTTAATGAATCTATTTGTCTCTCTCTTTTCCAAAACAATAATGTAACAAATGTAGCCCTTTGATTTGGTCAATCCATAGGTATATCGACTTCACAGAAAAGCATATCGACTTCGCACTTCATGCTCAGTCGATATGCTTTTCTGTGAAGTTGATATATCTATTGATCAACCTCATAAAAGGGCTATATTTTGTATAGTATAAATATATATATATTGAGAATTCATGGATGTAGCGAGGTTTTCTTTGATCCCCAGGTATATAAATTTTATGAATTCTTTATACAGATATAACGAATTATGGATAAAGGGAAGTAATTTCACAGGTCCCAGTGACTTCGTTATAATCAAGTTTTACTGTATTGATATATACAATGTATAACCATTTTTTCAAAGATCTGGAAAACTGATGTAACCTGTCAACCTGGAGATCAACATCTGGAGAGCTGTAGCTCTACTGATGGAGTAAACAGGTGCCCCAGCCAGCAGTATGCTTCTGTTGTTTGTTCCAGTGGAGAACCACCAATAGGTAATTATAACACAGAGATTAATTTGACAGCATTTATAGGTGCATTATGGTTTATTTTTGATTATCAAACAGATCATACCAAAGAATAGATGGATACGATTTCTCTTGAATGAAGTCTTTTTTTGAAGGCTACAAAGTTGAGCTGGAGAAGGGCCATTATGGGCGTGTGAAGATGACCTACTTTAATCAGACAGGATATGTTTGTTCTGAGGGATTTGATGCCGCAGATGCTAATGTTATTTGCAAACAGATTGGGTACTTGGGAGGTAAGTGCATGCTCATTTTTTTCTTTTTCCGGGCATCAAGAGTACAGAGGAAAACCTTTTCTGGGGTGCATTCTTGTTTTTTAAGAATGTTAATGGCTCACTTTTTTTTTAAAATAAAAAATTCAGTTTTATGCCTGTTATATTCTAGTAAACATGTATTTATCAGTGGTTATAATTATGTGCTGGTAACAGAGTTAACACATTACCACAGGCTTTGCTTACCAAGAACACAACCGTAACTACTGGACCAGTAGTCTAACTGAGCTGCGCTGGCTGAGGAACCTGACGTGTACAGGAGATGAGGATCGACTAGACGAGTGTGACAATCTAGACAAGAAATGGGGACAAATACAGAACTGCTCCATCAAAAGCTTTGCTGCAGCTTTCTGTTTTACTGAGAGTGGTAGGATTAATTTTTACATCTAAACTTTCCTTTCATTAAAACACCCTTCATTTTTAGAGGTACAAGTTTCCCATGGGTTAGGCCATGGCTTTTAGATGTGTATGAAGATTTTTTAGAGTATATGCACAGTAAGGTGGGTTTCACTCTAGTCATTAAATACTTTTCCAAAGTATCTATCTCCTCATTGGAATATGTCAGTTATGAAGTTAACATAAATCCTACACATTGACAAGACAGTTGGATATGTTGAATCTCAGGATTTTTGCCATCAGTGATGCTTCAGGAGCAGTCTTTCTTCAGATATATTTTTGGATGAAAATCATGCAGTTGATTATGTTATGACTATCTCAACATTTATGTTTTTTTATACTATCTCAACATGACTGTCAAAACATTTATGTTTTTTATACCCCCCACTTGAAAAGCAGGGGTGTAAAGTGATGGGGATGTCTATCCGTCCGCCTGTAAATCCGTCCACCCTTCTGTTACACTTTTAAGTACCCATCGCTTATCCGCAACTCCTCCTATACCTCTGAAGGAAATTTAATGAGTTTTTCACAGAATCTTTATGACATATAGTGCCATTGTGCACTTCCTACTTTATGTTTTGATTGGACAGATATTTGGGCTTTCCCATAGCAAAAAATCAAATTAGCTATTATACTCATATGTGAGCGGGAGATATCATTTTGTGAGCTCAATGCTCACAAAACCTTTAGTTTCAGATGCTTCTTTTGACCTTCATTGCAGAGATTATACAGATACAGTGTAAATGAATATCAGATTAAAGCTTAATAAGTAGCTTTATATAAAGTACTTATCTTTGAAGTAATGATAAAATACATGTAGTCTGAATTTGAATATTCATAACAAATAGAATCTTTCATATGTCACCTGTTTATATGGAGTACAGAGCAGTCTGGGTTTAACTGGTCAATCCTGACAGTTGTGTCCAGTTACAAAAGCTTTTACTTCAGACAATATTTTTGAAGGTCCTCAAAATTCATGTTTATTTTACGACATAGTACATACATGTACCCCATTATTTTTGTCTTTATTACACAGTGATTTTTTCCAGAAAAACAAGGACCCCAAATTAGAGTTGTTGGAAACAAGAGTGAAGGGGTGGTGGAGGTTTTCGTTAATGGTACATGGGGCTCAATTTGTCAGCGGACCATTACCAATAAAGCAGCTGATGTCATCTGTCGACAGCTGAACTACACCTACGGAACTCATAGCAGCATTGCGGGAGTTCCCCCAAGTAAGGGCCCAGTTTTGATTGATCAGATGTACTGTACAGGGGAGGAGAAGAGTATATATGACTGTCGGATTTCTATCAATACAGACCCTCTGTCACCCTGTCACCACCATCAGTACGATTTAGTCATCAAGTGCTACTCTAACGGTAAGTCATAAGTAAGGATATTCTGTGTCCCAGATAATGACACATAGAGAGTAAAGTCCTAATTTTTAGCACATGCTATATCCCTGGATTCGGCATCACTATTAAAGTTTTAAGAGCAAAACCATTCCCAATTGAAGTATAAGCCCTGCTGTACCAAACTTGCATGGACACTACCAGCCTTGCTTCAAATGCTGGATCTAAAGTTTATGGAGAAGGTCTATTCCTAAGTAAATAAAAGCCCTTGCATTTTGCTCTATCTATATCTTTAACAAATATAAATATACACTGTATATTCATTATTTATCAAAGACCTAGTTAGAACAGATTTTAAAAGTCAGTTAGAAATGCCCATTGTATTATGGATCGATGTAGAGGTCCAAGGCAAGTTTCTTAATTTTGATCTGTATTGATATTATTTGATGCCTGTAAAAAAAATAGGCATGCAAAAAATTGTTTTATGGACTTAAAGAAATAATTTTTGAACATATGTTTCAGTAAGGTTAGTAGACACTGACATAACAAACTATGGAAAGCTGCAAGTTCACAATGAAACTGGTTGGTATGCCGTCTGTGACACAAACTTTGATGATGTAGACGCCAGGGTAGCCTGTAGATCTCTGGGATATGAGGATGGGCGTGCCCAGCTCGGCTCAGCACTGGGGACCTGGATTACCTCATCTAACAATGTGATAGGAGTAACTGATGTAAACTGTAAAGGAAATGAGACAATGTTTAGATACTGTAACATGGGCCACGGGAAATGTCAGTCTGGTCATTATGTGACTCTGGCTTGTACCCAGAAAGCCATAGACCAATACAGTAAGTCACTGCAATAGAATTGTGTGTTTAAATTATAGATTTGAAAAAAGAAGCTTTTTTAACTCCATTAGATACAGGCTCAGTTGAGGTTTGCTGTGATGTACATTAATATATTTATATAGGTGTTCATCTGTCTTTCATTTGCAGAGAAATTCAACATTTTAAAAACCTCACCTTTGGCCACAAGAAATGCTTTGTTCAAAAAGTTTCAAAAGTGAAGATCAAGAGAAAAACACTTTAAATTAGGTTATGTTAGGATAACTGTAAGATATTTGTACTATGGTTAAAAAGTTCACTGGGAAATGAACTTGGTTGATATGTGATCAAATCTACTGAGAAGCCCTTTGGGCTTCACAGGATTTCATCATGTGACCAACCAAGTTCGTTTCCCAAAGAACTTTTTAACCTGGTTATTTACTTTTTAATTATCCCTAATTAAGCTTCATAAAGTCATATGTTGCATGATATACACATGTATCATCTTTTATTGTAGAGATTGGTGTGGAGATGTTGCATGACAAGTTACTGATCTTTTATTGTAGAGATTGATGTAGAGATTCCTATGACAATACTGTATGGTGACGTAGAGGTTAAACTCTATGATGTAAGGGGGTCTATCTGTGACGACACCTGGAATGATGCAGCTGCCCGTGTGGTGTGTCGTGAGAAAGGATTCGTTTCTGGGAATGCCACTCGAGGCTCTGCTCGTCGTAACTTTCCTACCCTTGTCAGTGGTGTCAATTGCACTGGGAATGAGAGGGCTCTGAGGGAGTGTAAAATGAAGCCTTTTAATGAGACTAACACCTGCCAGGGAAGATCCTCTAGGGCAGCGGTTATCTGCTCTAAAAAACAAGGTACAGTAAATGGAGTTCTGTCTTTAGCAGTAGTTAATGGATGCTGTGCATAACTGTGGAGGTGGAAAACATTGAAAGCATTAGATACAATGCAACAGCTAATGATAAACTTTATGTGAATTGGGCAGAGGGAGATTGGGGGGGGGGGGGGGGGGTTACTTCATATGTATGTATTTACACATTCTCATACCTACATTATGTCATTATGGTATATAGGAAATCAGATATCTGCAACTAGCAGACTACATAAATTGAAATATTTTCCTGTGTTTTTTTTTTTCAAAACTTGGAAGTTAAACTTAAGTGCTGTTAAACTGTCAATGTTATACATGTACATGTTATGGTGTGTCTTCATATATCTACAGTTTGTAGTGGGTACATATAACACTGGCTCAGATTGGCATTGACTTAATAAATACATTCTTCTGTATTTCAGAGGGAGTGAGATTCCGCATTGGTAATGAATACCAGGGCTCAGGAAGAGCAGAGGTGTACCTGAATGGACAGTGGGGCACCATCTGTAACATATACTGGGAGGATGTGGATGCCGGAGCATTCTGTCGACAGTTACCAGACTATGTAGGGGGGTTTGAAGCCAGTCCAGCTGTTTATGGAGACCCAGCACAACCCATCTGGATGACAAGGGTGGAGTGTCGCGGGAAGGAAATGAACTTCCTGGACTGTGAGGCATCGTGGGATCCCATGAAGACTAGTCGCTGTAGCCATAATAATGATGCTGGGGTTATGTGCTTCAAGTCTGGTGAGTAGTAATGGGTTGGATTTACAATACTTAAAAAAATGATTCATTCATAGGGAATTACTGATAGTAGATGGTATAATCATATTTAATAATGTGAAAATACCTATATATTGAAAATATGCTTAAAATCAATTTCATGGAAATAATAATTTATGGTAGTTTAAGAACTTGTTCACCATAGATTGCTTTATCTAGGATTATTTTGTATTTTTGTACCACTTTGTTTTGCAGTGCGCCTTATGAGAGGAAATTATCGTAATAATGGTATAGTGGAGGTGTATGTAAATGGACAGTGGGGAACCATTTGCTCCTCAGGATTTGGTGAAAAGGAAGCAGGTTCGTTTTGAAAATTCAGAAGTACTGTGCTACTCTCAAAGGTTTTTCATTAAGCCACCAGAGTCACTTAGGTGCCTTTTGCAATCCGTTGTCACATATCACTCTGTGTCTATTACATTTGCAATGTTGGAAAAACTTATGATAAGTAACTTATCCTGTATGTATGGAGGAGACCTCTTGTATCATGATTTGGTCCTTTAAATGTTGAGAGTCAAAAACTGGTCAATATCACTTAATTCATTTTTGTATTATCCCCCAAAGAATGATATACAGTCAAACTTGTCATAGTGGTCACCTTTATCTAGCGGTCACCTGTCCTATGAGGTCATTTTATTTCCTCCCAATGAATTTTCCTATATAATATAACTCTATTAAGCAGTCACCTGTGTAATGCTGTCAGCGGTCATCAAATTTCATGTAAAATCGCCGTTTTACCTCGTATATAGCGGCCATTTTGTCCGATCATGTGACCAGATCTAAAGTCAGGTGACTCCCAATTTTTGTCACCAATGTAAATAATTGGTCTTGTGTAGCGAGATCATGGAAAAATAATTGGCCTTATTAAAACTATTTTAAATATTGGATAATTTATTTATTTTTTTAACAAAACTAAACAAGGATGCAAATGACCGAAAAGGTTATCAGGAAAATTGGAATCTGGTTTAAAAAATTCTGAGTGATACACAAGGCATCCTTATTTATCTATTAATGGATACATTAATTAGGTGTTCCATAATTATTAGTTCTTGTTTGGCATGCCCAACTCTGAAAGGTGTAATTGTGTAAACGCAGGACAGGCCGTTTTTAACACATAGGAAACATTTATTTGTAGAAAACCTAATTAACTGTTTTATACTCGATGTGTCCTGATTATCTCGTGATTTTCAACTAGGTCAGACGACCGTTAGGATTAGTCACACTTCATTGCTCACAACACCTGTGAATTTGATATCAATTTGTATTGTGCACCGCTTTGATAAACTGAGAATATTATGACTTGTCTGTTTATTACGCTACTATTTATGTTTAATTAAACATACAATTATCAGGACTAACTAAACTTGTTTTTTAGAGGCAGTTTAGATAAAAAAATACACTATATTTTATTCATGGCACGTGATAATGTAATCTTATAAAACAAAGAAAGTTTTCTTGTTGTTTGGAGGGAGGATAATGCAATGCCCTATTAGACTCAATATATTTTTTGTTGGAGTCATCAAATTTATCTTGAACTTAATCTTGAGACTATTTAAATAAAAAAAAAATCTGAGACCATAGATGTCCAAAACACATCTTTCTTCAATATTCTATGATGTAGTATTTTAAAACAGAGAACATACATAAATTGGAAAAGAATTTTTCTTGAAAAAAGATGAACCTCTTTTCAAAGATCACCTCTCTATAAAGGTCACTTTCAATGGTTCCTGCAGGTGACTGCTTAATACAGGTTTGACTGTATGTTTACCCATCAGGCAACCTCAGGAACAGTGATGTGAAGATTTTAATGATATAGATCTACATAGATGCAATACAAACACTTTTTCTGGTCATGAATATTCCAGGCAAATACATCTTAAAAGTAGTAGGCAACATGTTCATTATGCTGAAGATTGGGAAATTAACACAGTGGTTTTAATTTCATTTTGTTCACAATTTATCATTTTCCCCATAGTGAATAGGTTACTAAATCTTGCAATAAAGTTTTTACAAAGCACTTAAGTGTGAAAGTGAAACCGTCGTAGCTGGTACCCTTGTAACAATTATCAGTAAATTTTTAATGCTGTGGAATTAAAACAACTTACAGGATGTGACCTTCACAATCAACTGTATTCACACTAAAAATAATGAATAAAAGATGCATATGAAATAGCCTTAAAACGTGACTTAAAAGTCAGATGTAATTTCAGATGTGGCCTGCAGAATCCTAGGATATGAAAGAGGAACTCCCCTCTGCTGTTCTCCCTATGGATTTAGCTTTAAGAATCCGATCATCCATTCATTCAGATGTAATGGAGATGAGAGACACCTGACGGACTGTGAAAGTACTGCTGCCATTGGCTCCAATACCTGCTTCTCTCAAGACTATGCCTCAGTAGCATGTTATAATGAATCCACATTGAGTAAAGGTAAATTTAATCATCAGTAAATCTTGTACAGAGCTCAACTACATGTAATTGAATGCATTGAGGGTTTTATGAAATATATGTATTATTTTTTATGTTTCAGTAATTTAAGATAATAAACTGTGAACAAATAGTAGAAAAGTTATTTAGAGATACATTAAATGTACCTATTTACATTAAATGTGACTATTGATGGTATGTATAAGTGTTGAAAGTATGCCTTTATTGACAGGATACTCTATTTCCTTGCCCACTGACTCCCCCTACACTGGTCAGGTCAATCTGACATACCTCGGTATAGAGGGCAGGATCTGTAATGATGGATGGACAGATTTGGATGCGGGGGTGGCCTGTCGAGAACTGGGGTACCCCAAAGGGTTTGCCTACACCCATTATAAGAGTGAAGTGGATTCCACTGGGCCATACTGGTCGTCCAACTTTAACTGCACCGGAAATGAGTCAAGTCTGAAGAGGTGTAAACATATAGGATTTGGAAATGTTACTGAGTGTAAATCAAAGCATTATGCTGGAGTTCTCTGTGTGGAAGATAATGGTAAGTAGTTGAACCTACTCATACAGTCAAATACTGTCTACATTGCGATGTTTGCTTTTAAAAAGATAAGGAAGCTTTTGTCTGTAGGCTTACATTTACGTTTATGCACATCCATATTTTGTGTGTATATCTCCTAAATATGATTTTAAGTTCAATAATGAAGACAATCTGATTCCATGGGTATACATGAAAGATAGTGAAGACAATCTAATGCCAAGGGTACACATGAAATGTATTAAATCAAAAATGGAATTTTGTGTATTGCGTTTTCCATACCTCTTCAATATGAAGTACATTTGTTTATGTTTAGAAATATTTCATTAACTTTCAGGCATTAGCTACAGAATGGAAGGTGGTGATTTCCGTTACGGACGTGTAGAGGTTTTGATGCAGGGTAAATGGGGCACGATTTGTGATCGTTATTGGGATCAGAGAGACGCAGAGGTTTTCTGTCGGATGTTCGGCTTCAGCACCGGAGATGCTTACTACGACTCCTACAAGGACCAAGGGACAGGCAAAGTTTGGGGGACCATGTTCCACTGTAAAGGGGATGAGGACAATCTTAATAGCTGTCCTCACGAAGGCTGGAAAATCACAGACTCCATTTACTGTAGAACTCACAAAGACGATGCTGGGGTTCAGTGCTACACCAATGGTTTGTGTCATTAGAATTTTATGGGGATAGAAATAAAGATGTTACAAAATAATTTTTACCAGTTGAAATTAATTTTGTTTATACAATGTATGCAGTGAAACTTGCTTAGTTTTATTGATTAGAAAAGCTGTATATAATTATATACAATCATGTACGAGGGTTGTCCGGTAAAATCATGGACAAGTCGTCTAGATTTAAAAATAATCATCACTGCATATGTTTATATATGCTCAAACAACTGAAAAATCTGGTTTCTTGTAAAAAGCAGAGAAAATTTTCAATCTCCTTGTCATTGAGAATTTTAAAAATGTCAGTTTTCATTCAGACAGATTCCTTATAACCACCCACATGCAACATTGCATTATATTTAGCCCTGAACCGTTATTAATTGCTGTTGTGTTGTGTTTTTACACTCAAAAAATATTCATTTAAAAGAAAAACGAATCATGGTAAGCTTTTTGTAACAGGTACTATAGTCTGTTACTTCTAATTTGATTGTATGATGGAAGTAAATGTGTTATTTTGTTAGCAGTATAAGAGCATGTAGTGTTAAACGTGTCATAATTGTCATCTTTCCAGTGAAACTTTCCAATGGCATCCTGAATCGAAACAGTCGAACTGGTGCAGTGATGCTGTACCAGAACCAGAGCTGGTTAAGGGTGTGTGACACTGGTTTTAATGACAATGCAGCCAGAGTGGTGTGTAGAGAGCTGGGTTATAAAGATGGTCGAGCTATTTGTTGTTCAGCGTATGGATCAGTCAGTCAGAAGTACATCCAGATGAATTACACTTTACGCTGTAATGGCAGAGAACGCAATGTAAATGAATGTTTGCAGAAAGAGGAATGTAAAACGGCCAGTTATGCTTCAGTGGTCTGCTTTGGAACAAAAGATGAAATTAAGGATGGTAAGTTCACCATTGCATCGAATCAGTCATTTATGGCTTGTTTTTAAAATAATCAGTGAAGATGGAATGAAATCTTCAGAACATTAAACATTTTTGAAGTCTCTCTGTGGATTTGGAGATCTATTTTTTTTTTATCCATGTTGTATATCTATTTTGTTGGAAGATTGAAATTTTTCTTCCTCACTATTGTGATTTTTTTTTCTTTATCAAATATGAGATTTTGAAAGCAGATGCAGAATCTGAGAGTTTGAATTTCTGTGAATATTTTCAGATGAGTATTCCTTCTCAGTAAGGACAGGGGGCAATGGAAATAAAGGTCAGGTGGTGGTCAGTCATTACGGAGTGGACGGCCGGATATGTAGTCGTGATTGGGATGACGCTGATGCACACGTCATGTGTCGAAGTCTGAGCTACACAAATGGAATGGCTTATTATCATGACGAGCTATCCACCATCAGCAGTCTACGAGGGCCTTACTGGTTGAGTGGATTTAATTGTACAGGCGATGAATCTTCCCTCCTGGAGTGTCCAAACAACACCAGATTAAACCTAGGAAATTGTTCTGGTTCACACATTGCGTCAGTTCTGTGCTTTAATGACACTGGAGATTCTGGTAAGTGTGCCATTATCTAAGGATACCATTCAAAATATGGAAAAATGAGAAAAGTGGTCATTCACCTTGACCCATGTTTGATATTTTTACTCAATTTTAAATGAAACAAGATATTTAGAAGAAAACTTAGGATTGTTTGAGATCATTCTAACACGGCTCAGGGGTAACACTGTATCACCACTAAGAGTATCATTCATGGTTTACATTAACTTTCTGGATGACTTCAATGTTTGTTTTATGTAGATGTAAAATTTTTAATTTGTAGCCATCAAGTATTACATAGCAGGAGGAGTCCATTATGGCAGAGTAGAGGTGTCTATAGAGAAGCAGAGAGGCACAATCTGTGATGCATCCTGGGATAATAAAGATGCTTCAGTTCTTTGTAGAGAGAAGGGATTTAGTGAGGGAGTGGCAGTACCAGGGGCTGCTTATGGCCAGGGAACAGGTAATTATTCCATTAAAGAATCAACACTTAGATTATGCAGCTAGAGTTACAATTGTCTGTGCATATTTGACTATTTGTCAGGATCATTCTCTGATATAAAAGATAAGTTTTCTGAAGATCAACAAAAAAATTTGTGTATTGATTGAAAAAAAAAATTATGTCTTTCATTTAAAATTGTAATTCATAATCCCTATTATTCATCTGATACAGGTCTGAATGTCATTTTTTTTCTTTTTAGGACCAATATGGCAGAGTCACATACAGTGTGTAGGAAATGAGCCGGGATTGAGATGGTGCCCGCATCGTGGATTTGTGGATCGATACTCGGACGCTAGCTGGCTCTTACCTCTAATCTGTGATTCTCATAGAGATGATGCCTCAGTCTTCTGCTTCAAAAATGGTATAGGACAATTTACTTATCTCTTGTTATAAAAAAAATATTCTGCAAATGGTGTAAAGCAGAATTGTGAATTTGCTAATTTTTAAATAATTTTTTGTGTTGCGTGCATTGCAATTATATAGGGATCACTTTGGTGTCTGCCCATCTATCAATCTGTCTGGGAGAAGTCACACTTTCACAGAAAATGCTTAAAACTCTGTTACAGCCTACTCCGGATATATTGAAATTCAGGGGACCATGCAAATTGTTTCAATATATCCGTAATTCAATATAAGCGAAATCGTGAAGCCGCCATTTTTACAAGTTCAATCCCGATCTAAAATAAAGAAGAACAAACCCGAACAAATTAATTTTGTCATCGTTTATCTATAACAGTTAACAGATTACAAAGAATATGAGTCCTTGAAGTTTTAAATATTTTTTTTAAATCTGTTTCATTGAAAAGACAATTTTCAATTCACCCCTCATTATTATTCCCCGATCGCATTTATTTACGTTTTGGAGAAAATTCACAGACTTGAACAGTTACATGTAAGTACTGCTGAATGCTGCTTGTATTTCATTGTAAGTGTACTCGGGTTAATCCCTTAGTTATTTCGAATTTAGGCATATGAATTAATTAACAGTACGTATTTAATTTCAAAGTTATGTTTTTTACCTAGATCTGTGGGGATTAGTATATTACGTTTAGCTGCTTAGCCTCAATATGTCCGTATTATATACGCGGACGCAAAAAATGGAACAGTGAAGAATTTTATTTCGTAAGAACATGCAGTATTAAAACACAAATGTTGAAAACTAAATTATTCACACCTTTGTATATCAACTGCTCAATCAGGCATAATTACTGTCACCAACCGTAACGACAGCCGCCAGGGAGTACTTCAATATAACCGTTATTAAAACAACTCATTATCACCTGTGGGGACCGATCAGTGGCTTCAATATAAGCGAAATTTCAATATAGCTGATTTCAATATAACCGTTATTTTAATGCAAAGAATATGAGAGGCAAAATCTGGGGATTTATTTCTAATTCAAAATAAGCGGAATTTCAAAATAAGCGATTTCAATATAAGTGGAGTAAGCTGTATTTTCAAAAAGCACATCATAGGATAATGTCATGAAAAGACACATCTCAAATAATGCAAACATAACATGGAGTTGTAATGGTCAGCTCAAAGTCAAAATTGTGTTTTGGTCTAAGAAAATGTGCAGTAATTAACACTTAATTATTTTGTGTTTATTATGTGTATATTAGATATGTTGTATGTAAATTTTAATTTTTTCCACATCTTTATTTAGATGTTAATTATTTTTTTCCCAGTTTCATTATTCAGCTACATATTTATCAAAATTTGAATTTTTATAGTGAAATTGAATGAGGGCCATGATTCACCTATGGGGGGTGTAGAGGTTTACAATAAAGAGCAGAAGACATGGTTTGGTATCTGTGACACCGGCTTCAGTAATGCTGCTGCCAAAGTTGTGTGTCGCAGTCTCGGTTTGGATTACACAGATGGAAGAGCAATCAATGGATCTGCCTATGGAAATATATCTGGGGAGGTTCTCTACACCAATGTCAAGTGTAGTGGACAGGAAACAGATTTTACTCAGTGTATCTATGACTTCAACAAGACCAAATGTGAGAGTGGAATGTATGCTTCTGTAATGTGCAGCAATAAAACTATTGTTGATACTGGTAAGATACATGTACTTAAAGATCACAAATGGTGGAGACACAGAAACTTATTATAATTGCATTATAAAAGTTTTAATTCAGTTTCAAATGTTCAGATATTTTATAAGGAGAGATAATTAAATATTGACTTTATATATGAAATAGAATTTGATTGATATATAGGTATTCTTTGGTTTAATTAAGAGAGAGGTTTATAAATCCCTGATTAATTCTAAACATGCTGGGGCATGTAAAATTCATGTGATTCAATGTTCTATTGAATCTCTGATTGTACATGTAGGTTTTGATGTCCGATTGGCCCCAGATAGTTTATCCAGTACTCTACATGGTATTGTGGAGATCAGAGTAAATGGAGTTTGGGGGCGTGTCTGTATGAATCACTGGGACGACAGAGATGCTAATGTGACATGTAAAAAACTAGGATACGCAGGAGGTGTGGCTTATTTACACATCATGAAGAACCGTAAACCAATAATGATGAACCAAGTACATTGTAAAGGAAATGAGACCAACTTAATGGACTGTGATCATAGCCTTAAACCTGACCTTAAAAACTGTGCATTTCACTCTAATGATGCTGGAATCTTATGTTACCAGTCTAAAGGTCAGTGCAAAGGAATCCAATTTTATGCAACATGTGCATAAAGTATTTTAAAAGGCAAAAGTGAAGGATTTATTAGAAAGAGAAAAGACATACTCCAGGCAAATTTTTTAGCAACATTCTTCTGATGGAAAAATTGCAAAGTTTGTTTTAGTGAACTATGTGCAGCTATTTTTAATGCAGACAACAAGAAAAATATCACTATGCATCTTGACAATGAGAGAAAACATTTAAATTGTTTCTCAAAAGAAAAACATCACATCTTTGTATGTATTCCATAAGTAAGCAACACTTGACAAGACTTCTTCCACATTTTAGGTATTCAGTACAATCTTGTGGGAGGAGAAAGCAATTCGACAGGTCGTGTGGAGCTGAGTTATGATGGTGTTGTTGGCACTGTCTGCGCTTGGTCCTGGAAGACTGCGGATGCTAAAGTTCTTTGTCGACAACTTGGTTATTCGGATGGTATTGTCAGTTACAACCACAACTCTCGACTGGTACCCACTAAGAGATGGGTGACTGGGTACTTCTGTCAGGGGGATGAGAAGACCCTAATGACATGTCTGAACACTGGATTTAACTCCACGTTTTTAGATGATTTGTGTTTATTCAATGAACCAGGAGCATATGCATCATGTTATAATGATGTTATAGGTATAGTACATGTGTTATAGGTATAGTACATGTGTAATTATGAATTTGTCTCCATTTACCAGGATCTATTTATATTGGAACAAAAATTCAGCACAACTACATGTTTATTTATAGAAAACACAGCATATTCTGAACTCATTTAAGTAATATGTTTCTTGTGTTGTTACATGTAAATGTATTTATCTAAACAAACTATAAATTTTAGAGCCAAAGAAGATTCGTCTGGTGAATGGAAATAGCAATTACACAGGTCGACTGGAGGTGTTCATTCAGGGCCCAAACCAATGGGGTACAATTTGTGATGACTTCTGGGATGAGACAGCTGCTAAAGTTGTCTGTCGACAGATGGGACTCACGGGGGGAAAACCAATTAAAGAGGCCCATTTTGGAAGAGGAAGTGGTCCTATCTGGTTTGATAATGTGAAATGTTTTGGCAATGAGACCCATATCTGGGATTGTAGTAATAGAGGTATTGGTACCCATAACTGTAACCACACGGAGGATGTGGGTGTCAAGTGTGAGGGTAAGATTTTTACGATATCTCAGTTTAAAAGTATTAATAATTTTATTTCCTCAAACATTGCAATGGATTTTGTCGAGTTGCAAGAACTAATCTTATTTTTTTTTCATCAAAAAATAAATTATGCAATGTTATTGTAGGTCCTATAATACCAACGACATCAACCACAACTATTTCTACAACAATATCAACGACCACTGTACCCATAACAACAAGTAAAACAAAGACCACAACAACAACAACAACAACAGAACCAACAACATTGAAATCAACAACAATAAAACCAACAACATTAAAACCAACAACATTGAAACCAACGACATTGAAACCAACAACAACCGTAAAACCAACAACAAAAACAACCACAACTCTAAAACCAACTCCTAAACCTACCACAAAGAGACCAACAACATCAACTCAAAAAACAACAACCATTGAATTAACGTCTCCAACAAAAGGAGAGTCAGGAATAAATGCTACATTGGTGCCTCCTAAACAACAACAGGAGAGTTCCACATCGCTGGGTGTGATCATTGCTGTCCCTGTTGTTATTTTCTTTGTCATTTTGGCAGTCATCATTCTTGTGTTTGTGTTCAAAGTCCGCAAATTCCATAAAAGAGACACTATTCCACATGAACGTTTTCACGATGATATCATTGAACACAATAGTGATGGCAGCATTGCTGTCAGTAATCAGTTATATGACATGACAATGCAGCCAACAGGCACTGCCAATGGAAGTGCTGGCGACAATCTGCAGCTGACCAAAAATGGCAGCGCATACTATTCCAAGCCATTGACCAATGGCAGAAATGAAACTAAAAACTCCTTTGCCAATCCTTTGTATGGGCAACAAAATGCAAGCACTGTGATTGACAGTAATGAAGCTTTACCAGACCAAGATGAAATTCGTTTTCCTATAGATGATTCAGTGTCCAAAGCTTGATTTTAAGCTTTAAGTGTTAGATTACAGTATGCTTCTAAAATCATTTAATATCAGAATTAAAATATAATGCATATGGTGAATAGTTTACAGAACACTGGGAAACTTTTTTTGCCTAATTATGAAAGCATTGTTTAACCATTCTTTTGCCTACTTATAGACAGCATTGTATCTCAATCACACACTGTACATGTACTTAATGAGCAACCTCAAAAACTGAAATAATATTTATTAAGGTCCATTCCATGAGAAAATAGCGAACTTGCTAAATGCACAGTCATGTGAAGTTCACTTTATGGAAAAAGCATAATTGTCAAATGTATTGGAACAGAAATTGAGTGGTTGACTTGTTTACCTAGATAAATATAGATGGTTTTGAATAATTCATGTTTTTATTTTTAAATTAATGGCTACTAGATTAAATTGAGTATTAGATATAAGGACATTTACTTCAAATTCCATCTCCAGGGATATTTTGCAAATTTATGTTATTGGTGTGTGGAGCAATTTTTAGCAAGAAGTGTAAAATTTTCAGCTTTTTATAAAAACCAAATTCATCCTAGTTGGTAGTATTTTAATGTCTTAATTGATAGAACATTAAAAATTAAATCACCACACATGATCACTGATAATTCTGATACCAATGATTTCTGTATACATCCAGCATTGATTTCTTTTTCAATATATCAATCATATATTTCTATGCCTTGTCAATTGTTTTTGTAATGAATGTGTTGACATAAGATTGAAAAGTTCCTGATCTTTCTGTGGTGATGTGTTGACTGTTAATTTATCCTTTGTTTACAAATATGTGTTCATATACAATTACTGAATATTCTAGTCTCAGTTGGTATGCAACATGAACTTTACCTGTAATTGTTTTCAAAGAATTAAACATAGCCCTTGGCAATGCGTTATTTCTTCATGGAAGGAAAAGTTTTAAAATGACTTGCAGTATATTAGTTTGTGAAATCAGAGGCATAAAAACTCATTTTTTACAGTTAAATTCCCTTGATTTAAGAATTTTCACAAGAATTTTAAGAAATTAAGCTTAATTTATTTTACAGAAATAAAGGAAAACATTTTTGGAACGTCAAATGACCTTTTTTGTATTTAGATCAGAACTAGGCAAGGATCTGTCAAAATCTATAATAATTCGAATGTTTGTATGAGATTTGCTCAAGTCTTTATGCTAAATAGTTTTCTATTTGTATCTTGAAGTCATTTGCCTTATTTTTTTTTTAGTTAATTTTATCAGAAATATCACAGGGAACAAAGTCATATATAGAAATATAAATCAAAAATTCAGGACAGATGATACAAAACAAAATATTGATGTATGATTGGTATATATATTTTAGAACCTATTTTGGTTGTTAATGATGCAAGTGTCATATTGTTAAAATATTAAAAAATTGTAAACTTTTTATGATGTTCAAAATCCTACCTTCCTGCAATTACCCTTATAAATCTTTACTACTTTTTATCACTTTATAGGACATTATTGTGAAACATTGAACGAAAAAATTAAAATCTATGCAATTTAAACTTAATCATTTTACTTATAAAAAACATGACTTAAATTAGTAATTTCATGACTTAAAAAAAGTTTGTGTCATCTGTCCTTAACATAGAAACTTGAGCAAGTCTTTATTTGTATAACATACATTTATTTATATTTTTCATTATTGTATGTCATAGGTTATTTGTCTGTGAAAATTCAGTACTCTCCTACTGTTGCCGTTGTCTGCAGAATGAAAATGTGATATTTTTTACTAAGGAAATGATAGGGAAATGATTGTGTTTATAATCATCTTGACATTAAATGATATGAAATGAATTTATTTACTTTTTATGAATCTTACATTTATTTTTTTTTTTATTATTATTGATGCCTAAAGATTGACCTGCTAGCTGCTTTTTCTAACACAAACTTTGGGGTCTATACATGTACTTGAGACACATCATTATTAATTATTAGGTTCTGGGATCATGAAGCAGTAAACTTAAATCAAAATGCCAAGCATTCATATTATGCTTATTCACCTTAACCACAGTATTTGCACATAACCATCAACAACATTTGTGTTTGTTATTTTAAAGCTATTTACAAATTTTAACTGAAGTCAAAGAGTGCTTCATACATGTACCAGCAAACTCCCATAACCAGGACAAGTAGGATGTTGATTGATATCACGCTATACTGTACCAGGATTCTCCACCATGCTTAATTGTCGAAGTTTGCATAGAAAATAAGATGAGTGATACTCAAATTAAGAAATGAATTAAATATAAATTTTATTTTAACACTGAGCTAACCGTGTACAAAATGAGATGGACCTTTGGGCCTCAAAAAATCGATTTAGCTGTTGATTTGTGATATATTCTTTCGGGGAAAATGACAAGCTATAATTTGTCTTTTACAGAAAATAATGTTTCACATAAAATTAAGTTTCCTTGATTAGATATAAATGTACATTGTAAGTCATGTAAAACTACTTGCTAGTATAATCATCTTCACACACTGTCTGACCAGTTCTAGGCGGCCTCCGTTTTTGGAGGATAGCTTTTTTATCCTCTGAAAACAGAGGATAGCGGTCTCGCCACCTACCGGACTTTTCAAAACAACAGTTAACTCTGAACCAAAAAAGAACAGCAACTCTTGCATTTATGAACCGTACGCAGATTTCTCAACCAAAACAAATAAAAAGTACTATTTCATATGATGATGGATAAATCAGGATATTAAATCAATATAACAGTATTTGTTGTAAATGCCGTCAATCAATTATTCAGTTCACAGCCTAGTTTACAACGATTACCCGTACCTGCCTGTGAGGTTAATTTTAAGCACGCTGATTTTCCAGTAACGTAGTAATGTGATAAGTGGTATAGAAATATTGATAAACTTTTTTTTGAAAAATCCAAGTTTAATTATGTCAAGGGTGTTAACTTTTATAATTAACAGTTCTTGGATAAGAGAAAACTCCGGACAACTGTTCAATGTAATTTATTTATTTTCCATCGACATGATGGTATTTGATGCAGTATTTACGTTATATCATCAATGACATGGTGATCTACAATAAATATGAAAACTTACGTACCGTCCATTTACACATTAAATATTTAAATAAATTTACATCAACTATTTAATTCATAATTTAATTTACTGAAAATATAAAATAGTTTAATTAAAATATCTTACCATGTAGACAGAATTTAAGCTCCTAATTATAAAGCTAAGTTACGGACAATGGCAGTCCTCGTAACGTCCATCTATATCAGAGGGTTTTCATCAAGTGATTTAAAATAATATTAAAGGTTAATAAAATTCGCGCCAGCCATGCGCAATGACTGGAAAAACCAGTCAAACACATCCATGCACATCCCATACTCACCATATGACATCAGAGGTGATGAACTTACAAACCATGAATGAATGACGCATGCGCAAATTATCATACATAGTAACATATAGTAAATACTAATCCTGTGACAATTATCTAAATTATTTTATTCGTTTAATTATCCTTAAGCACATCACTTAAATTATCTGTTTTATTTATTTAATATGCTATTCAATAAATTTATTTTTTTTTTCTTTATTTATTCATAACTATTCATTCATTCCTCTATTAAATTCGTTTTAGTTGCTTATTTTATAAGGCAGAAAAATTTTTGCATTTTAATGTTTCCTTCTGTGTTTCCTTTTTCTCTCTTTTTTTAAATTAAAGGAAAATATGAACATAATATCAAAGTCCCTTTTCATTTGTCTTCATAGGGGAAAAAAACATAAAAATAAAACTAAATATCAAGAAATATTCGGTAATTAGAAGTCTCTGACGAGACTGTAGCTCCACCGGTTGTACTTATAAAGGAAGATAAAAGTAGCACTTGGACTTGAAACTTTGCAACAGCAATAAATAGAGTAATGATCCTTGGTTTATAGTCTCTTTTTGTGGCAAGATTTATTGCAATCAGGCTAAAACTGTAGGAGGAGTAGCCTTTTAAAACAATTTTACAGAAATTTGGATTTAAGTAACCATGGCGACATCATTCAAAAAATAGAAAAACAATAACGACAATTATGTATCTCAGTTTAGTCTACTTGTATGCCAAGTTATACTGAAATCAGACAGAAAGTGTAGGAGGAGTAGCGTTTTGAAAGTATTTCACAGAAATTTCTATTTTTAGTAACCATGGCAACACTGTTCATTGAAATCCAAAACTGGTACATGTATAAAGAATTATGTATCTAAGTATAGTCTACTTGTGTGCCAAGTTATTCTGAAATCAGACGAAAGCTGTAGGAGGAGTAGCGTTTTGAATGTATTTCCAAGAAATCTCTATTTTTAGTAACCATGGCAACACCGTTCATTGAAATCCAAATCTGGTATACAGAATTATGTATCTTATTATAGTCTACTTGTGTGCCAAGTTATATTGAAATCAGATCAAAACTGCAGGAGGAGTAGCGTTTTGAAAGTTTTTCAAAGAAATTTCTATTTTTAGTAACCATTGCAACACCGTTCATTGAAATCAAAAACCAATTCACAGAATAATGTATCTTAGTATTGTCTACTTGTGTGCCAAGTTATATTGATATCAGACTAAAACTGTAGGAGGAGTAGCGTTTTGAAAGTATTTCCCAGAAATCTCTATTTTTAGTAACCACGCAACACCATTCATTGAAATCAAAATCCGATAAACAGAATTATATGTCTTAGTGTAGTCTACTTATGTGCTAAGTTATTATCAATTCCAGTATAGTGTGCAGTTTCGCATTACGTCACGATCTATTTTAACAGATGCGCCCAGCGTAAACAATTCACGCTCCCGGTATAAGATCTGTGTGATTGGTCAAATCATTTTGTCAACATTGACACGGAAATAGTCTGTTGCACGAGCAACCAATCAGGGATAAGGAGAAACTACCAGTCAGAAAGCTTGCGGTTAGGAGGCGTGTACTATTTACCTTGAGCGCAGCTGTCATCATAGGTTGTGACGTAATGCAAAACGGTACATTTCACTGGAATTGATAATATATTGAAATCAGACCAAAACTATAGGAGGAGTAGCGTTTTGACAAATTGTTTACAGACAGACAGCTAGACGGACGACAGACATCTTACTATCGCAGAAGCTCTTCTGGTCTCTGACCAGTAGAGCTAAAAATGGAGCCCAAAAAATGCCAACTTTGAAAATAAATTGCAAAATAGCTAGACATAGAATCTCAAAACGCCACATACAATCGATAGTTTAATGTTTGAACTTTTATTTGCAAGCATACTCTGGTGCTTGCACTTTTCCATTAAAGGTAAATTAGCTGTGATATCCTCTGAAATTGGAGGATAAGCTATTCCACAATGAAATGCGATTATCCATATAAATGGCCGCCATATTGAAACTAGCTATCCTCCGAAATCGGAGGCCGCCCAGACCTTTAAGAAGTAAAAAAAAATTCAGTACATAACGTTTTATTTAAACACAACTAGACACAATATCTATTTTTTTTTTAATTTAAATCATAAGGGCTCAGTCACACCTTACCGGGTAGCACTAACGGATGCCAGGCAGATGAAGAAATGAAGACGGAACGCATTTTGTTGGTAATATACGTTGCTGAAAATCTCTTCCACCGCATTTTGAGGCGCTTGCGATCAATATGAAACTATAAAACAAAACCTGAACGATTTTCAGATATATATGTACTGTACAAGCAACGGCCAACTAACGTTTCCGTAACGAATGAGTACCGTGTAAACTGTAAACGAACCTTAGACTAACGCCGTAACGGACGTACGATCAGTGTCCGGAGCACGTCAGGTTTATCCGTTTCACTACCAGTAATTGTCCGGTTGTGACTTAGGTCTTACAGACATCAACAAAAGCAGACCGGAGAAGTACAGGAAAAGAAATGCACAGGAAGTTCCGTACAAATCGCACGTAAATGGATATCTACTGTACTTCAAACCAACATACCTTACTTATAAAGCGGACACCTGGATGTGTGCGTTCGTGTCCATTTCAAGTTTGAACATCTCTAAACTTTCCGCCGGATAAAGCGAACTTCACCGGACATCGACCGTATTCACCGAATAAGAAACGGACAAGAAACGCATGTGGACGGAGACAAACGGATTGAAAATGACGTCCATTTGCGCTATCCGGTAAGTTTTGACTGAGCCCTTAACTTTACAAATGTACATATACATGTAGGGTATATGTACATTATTTAATTTAACAACGATAAAAGGGAAAATTAAGAATTATTGTGATTAAAGAAGAGACACGGTTACTGAGTTTGAAGTGAATGTTGCAAAAACCGTTATTTTATCTGAACTTCCATCGTCGGATACCCACGGGTGATCTCGTCTATTACTCATCACGAGTAAAATACGAGATCACCTGTGGATATCCGACGATGGTGAATTTCCATCCTAAAATATATAAAGCTTCAAATTTGAACTGAATTTTAATGAATTTGACTTAGCAATACATGTACAGATAAACATTGCCTTAAAAGATATGATTATTCATAGAGAATATCGAAATTTTATTTAAATTTCATTATATTAAATAAGAAAACAGACCTAAAACAAAAAGGAACAAGTGGTTATGTTACATATGACCAATTCATCCATATGCATATCTAAGATGTTTGTAATTATAATTATCACACGTGAATTTAAATTAATGAATATTTATCAATACATAGTAATAAAACATAAGAGTTTTACTTGAGCACATACTTGTACTATTTCTTTAAATAATTATAATATTTAAAAATTTATCAAAATTATTATTAAAGATAGGTTTCAATATTTTCAAGTAATCAAACAGAAGTAGATAGTTGACACACCGAGCATAATCTGTGATAAAATTATAAATATTAATACTCAATAACAGAAATTATTACAAATTAGAGTCCGAAGTCATAAAAGATTATTATCGTCTTCCTCTTCGACCACCTCTTCGAGGTCCTTGTCTCCCTCTTCCCCTTCCACGAGTCTCCTGTTGTCCGTAGTCACTTCTACGAGTCTCCTGTTGTCCGTTGTCACTTCCTCTCCCCCATCCTCTTCTCCACCCTCCTCGAAAGTCCTGTTGATCATGTTCTCTCCCTCTTCCCCATCCTCCCCTCCCTCGTCCTCTGTAATACTGTTGTCCATACTCACCCACTCCTCCTCGCCTTCCTCTTCCTCTTGGTTCATATTGTCCAGGCTCGTTTCCACGATCCCACGATGTATTATCCATAGCCGGCTGATTGTATTCAAAGGTTTCTCTTTTTTCCAAAGATGGGAATTCGTTATTCCAGTTATAATTTTCTTGACTATTACCACGACCTTGATCAAACCTAAATTCATCCAAATGACGTGTAGCGTTCCTTCCTCGTCCTTGGTTTCCGAAAACTATCGGTATGGGACATTCATTCGTTTGATTCCATGTTGAATTTCTGTTTTCCTTTCGTTTGTCTCTCCTCTGGTTTTTCTTGAAATTATCATTATTGACAAGCGTGGGATAATCTTGTTGAAATTCTCTGTCATTTCCAGACGGATTATCTTTCCATACTTGTTTGTTTCTTCCTTTAGAATTATTTTTCTGGAATGCTGTTCCGTCATCTTCAACCTGTTTCCCGCGGGTTTTTGGACGCGCGCCTTGCTCGTTGTAGTTTTTGTTTTGTCCTGGTTTATCTGTTTCTTGCGGAATTTGAAAAGGCTGCAATGACAGTCTGTCGAGTCCGAGGCAAATGACACAATTACTGATCTCGTTCAAAAAGCTGAAGGGATGACCTAAAAGTGCGAAAAAATCATGATTTTTTTTTAAACTCTCTTTAACTCAAGACAATTAACTATATATTCTTTGATTCATATTCGCCAACCCAAAAATCTCAGATGCAATTGTTAGGTAGATCATTCTTATTATTAAACTTAACTAGCTTTATTTTAGCAATTGTTATATGTATGCCAATGGACACTCCCGAAAACAGCGATTATTTGCTCGGTGCATACAATAATGAGAGCCGAATCTTTATTACACAAGAAGCCTATATATTATTCTTATGACGGAGTAGTTTTAACTTATGATTTTAACTATTTCATAAAATCATTTATAACATTTTAGATCGTTTGGTCTTAATATGATAGTCTGCACCCTGTTAGTCAAACTTTAATAAAAATGAAGTGAAAGGTTCATATTTCTGTTAATTAGATCCCACTGTCGAAAGAAAATTCTCCAATTACGTACAATATTTTACTATTTTTAATGCCTCCCCTTTCAAGAGGCTGGGATCTATCTCTGTTTTTACTTAATTCCTTAACTGAGGATGTGATGTGCAAAGTTTGGATGGGCATAAAGAATAATGCTAACATGTACATGTTTAGAGAAATACTGACGCATCTAGAGTTTCTGGACAAAGAAGGGAAAAATGAAGCAAGTAAAAAGTTCACAGGGCTTTTGATTCAATTAAAGAAGAAATAGCAAATACTGACCATTTGCACACATTTTCCAGGTTTCAGCATGGATTTCAATTACAGCAATCAGCTCAGGCGATTTAGCAGCTGTTTGTATCCACGCTTTTCCTATTTTACTCAGGAAAGGTGCAAAATAGTCCATTCTTTCTTCTACGTCCCTTGACCAGTAGTCGAGGTCATTTTCTGATTTAATAAAAGAATTTTGCAAAAGCTCTAGGTTACGCTTAAATTCTTGAATTTTTTCATACTTAAACTGCTTTTTGGATAGTCCTTCCTGATTCTTATCTGCACTATCCTGCCTGCTGAAGTAATCTCTTCCTGTTTCATCATCATCAGAATCATCTGAATCTAAATCTTCCTTCTCGGAGACTCCTGCTCCCTGCTCTGATGTCATCTGTGGAGACAATGTGTTGTATTGTATCACAATAAACACCTTCCACCAGGCTCTAATAACTCGTAGTTTTGTATAAATACTGTGATATCTCTGATTTCCTGATTTTTTCTTTTGTAGTAATTGTTTCATGGACTGCAAATAATGTTTTGCAGATGTCAGTAAAATATTATTTATTTGTTGTAAAGATTGTTCATTTGCAGCAACAAATGTTCCAAACTTTGTAATATACTCCAAACAACTTTCAGAAAAGCCTGCAAGTATGGGATATGTAAAGACGTTTAACTTCTTTGACACAGAATCTATCGTGTTTCTAATCTCGTTAAGGGTCAGACTTTGTTTTTTGAGCTCTGTCTGGTAACGTGGATGCCACGTGATTACTTTTGAACACTTTGGGCATCGCTTTATATAAAAAACATCTGCAGCATGTTCCATGTAAGCATCAATAGTTTTGGAATTGAAAGTATGTCCACAATCTTGAAGTTCGACAAAAAGATTGGATCCATCTTTCGATAACCTCTGAATTTCCTTGTGGTTGCATTTCTTACATAGCTTTGGACAAGGGTCTCCACAAAATCCTATACACTGATGACCACATGTCAATTTTTTAGTGCATCTCTCATTGCATTTTGGACGGTCGCATACGTCAGAGCAGAGTTTCGAGCATTTATAATGTGGGCATGCCCAGTCACATGGTTTGGTGCATATCTCACATGCTTTGTTGCAGGGATGAGTACAGCTTAAGTGGGAGCATCCAAAACCACATGTATTGGAACAAGGACCACAGCTTCCACAAGTACTACTTTTGCACTGATGACCACAGATGAGCATTTTATTACATATTTTTTGACATTCCCTGTGTTGAAAGTTAAGTTTGCATTCCGAGCAGGAGCCTTTGCATATGTGACCACACAGAAGGACAGATTTGCATGGTTCCTTGCACAGTGCATGACTTGTTTTCTTCTCTGAGCAAGGTACATTCAATATATGACCGCAAGGCAGCTCTTTGGCAACGAGAGTTTTGCATGATGGTAAATCTGAAAAGTGTTTTAATCCAGAAAATAACTGCTTTTTAAGGTAGCATAAAATTTCTGTTTCATGTCCACATTCCGGTCGAACAATATGCACCTTTTTCTCGCAGTTTTCTGTATCGGGATTTTTATAACACTCAATGAAAATTTTGTGTCCACAAAACGGTATGTCCCTCTCCGTTTTTGTTAAACATTTTATGGTTGGATCGTCAGGATCAACATGGCAAGGTAATAGTAGAGAGTGTTTGCATTTAAGGAGTTTAACAACCTTCTCTTTGCACTGAACATCAGCATTATTTACATTTATTTTACATGGAAGAGTTTTGATATGACCACATGGTAATCTTTTCTCCACTGGTTTATCACAAGCTATCGTTGAAACGTCTTCGCGACATTCTACAACAAGCATGTGACCACATTCCTTTTGCTTTTTCATTTTTATTTTGCAAGTGCAGGGATTTGGAAAATGACATTTTTTCTGACACACATGATCCGACTCGCAAACTTTGCCACACTTGGCCTGGCACTCAGCTTCAGGTTTCAAATGGCATGAAACTTCGACATTTTCATGATGGCATTCAAAATCGGTCATTACTCTTGCTTTGCATTTGATATCATCCTCCCGTAAGTGACAAGCGATTTCAATATCATGCCCACATTTCAGTGTTTTCTTAACTATTTCTTTGCACGGATTATTTATTTGATAGTCTTTTGCTGATTCATAACATTTTCTGGTGTACGTATGATCGCAGCTATTTTCTGTAAGCCTGCTGAGATACAAGTAACGATAAAGACGAGGTGTTTTCGATGTTAGACTAATAGTTCTTTTTTCTGTGACATCTTTCTTACACTGTATCCTATACATGTACTTACTCTCAAAACACTGTAATTCACATTCATGGCCACATGGAAGTTGTTTGATGACCTTTTCTAGGCACTTGTAGAATTCCACATCAATATAACACTCCAGGTCTATTTCATGATTGCAACTTAAAGTCCTGTGTACAATTTGTTTGCATTTGAACCTTACTGGATTCTCCCAGCAGTACATTTCTGCTTCATGCTCACAAGGAAGATTTTTCCGAACAATCTCCTTACACTTGTATAATTCATGGTCAGTATGACAAGGTAGCTTTTTTAAATGACCACAATTCAACTTTCTTTCTACCAAAACTTTACAAACAAATGAAGCAGGATCTTCGTAGCATGGTATTCTAGCACTGTGTCCACAAAGTAGTTCCTTGTCTACTTGTACTTGACATTTGATTGTTTCTGGATCTACATGACACGGTAGAGCTAGTTCATGCTTACAAGGTAAAGATTTTATCATTTTAACATCGCACATACAATCTTTGGGGAAATGACACCGTTTCTTACACTTATGATCACGTACACAGACTTTTGAGCACATTTTTCTGCATTCAATTTCCTTGTGCTCGGGGTCTCTCGGATGACAATATAGGTCACAGGCATGCCCACAATTTCGTCTTATATCACACTGGAGGGAACATCCTCCTTCGGGAGCTTTATCAAAATCCGAAGGGAGTACAGCATAAATGCGAGATGATTTGTGAATCCGACAGAAAAGCGGAAGTCCTTTCCCAAGCGCTCCATTCTGTTCCATCATTTTGATAGCTTTTCCCCATAACTTGCATCTGTAAGAAAACTTGCGTATGATGTCAAAGTTTCCAATGACATAAAGACCGATTTTTGCTCTGGATAATGCAACACATACACGATTTTCTTTGTTGAGAAATCCAATTTTGCCTTCATTGTTACTTCTGACTAGAGACAAAAGAACAATGTCATTTTCCTCCCCCTGATAGTTATCCAGAATTGAAATGTGGATTCCTTCAAATTCTCTTCTTGGCATGTGATCCCGTATAAGAAACATTTGGCCAGAATATGGTGTAAGGATAGTAATTTGGTTTGTTGTATATCCCTGTTTAAGAAGATAACGAGTGAGGCGTTGAATATAAAGGGCTTCATGGTCATTCCAGTAGCTTCGAGTCTCCTCCTTTGTGGATTCCTCTTTGGTATGTGATACAAAGTACACATCTTTTTCAATGCCCATGACATGTTCATATTGAAAGACATTTTCGTTATCCACAAGTTTTGCATAAACAGGACGAACCAATTGTGAAATTAGTGGGCGCATCCGATGCTGTCGTTCTAGGCAAACATAGGGTAATCCTAGATTTATCATTCTCTCGAACATCGATAGCGCCAAGTTATATTCTTCAGCTAGTTTATACACTGCAGGTTTGGGCTCCAATTGTTTGTGATCGCCGATTAAGATAAGATGTTCGCAATTTGAATTAAGAGTTGCTATTATGTGTGCCTCTAAAACTTCTGCTGCTTCTTCTACAATGATTACTCGAGGTCCAACTTCTCTCAAAACATCTTGATATCTAGCTGCCCCCGATGTCGTCATAGCAATTATTGCTGAATGTAACAAAATTTCACGATCTATTTTCTGCTTTTCTCGTAAATATTTTTCGTGTAATTCAGCATACTTTTTCTCCTCCTGTCTTAGAAGGTCTTTAACCCTCTCGCGCAATTTGAGAATAAAGTATCTGTACATTCTCCATCTCTGATTATCTGATATTCTCCATGGTCTTTTTATTGCCTTCTCAATTTCAGATGGCGCCATGACATCATTACTAAGAATCTTCAGTTTTACTTTTCTGCCATGATCATCTAAAAGTTTTTTAAATAAATCATCGAAGACACCGTTTTTTAGAATAGATTCTATTATTAAATCAACACTGACTCCAATTTCTTCGAATTCCAAATCAACTTCAAATTCATCATCCTCAACATGCCTCTCCGCATTGATTAGTTCAGCCTCAGTATCTATAATAATTTTTTCCATAGTTTCCTCACTTGCTGTATTCGTGACGTCAATTGTTTCTCCCATAGCTTTTGCCAACGCATATTTTTCGTAATCTTTATATGCAGCCTGCAGTAATGAATTCTCGTCAATTTTCAACCATTCAAGCATTCCAAAGTCCTTGCTATTTTTCAAAAGAGTATCAACCTCTTCAATCCAAGGGCTCAAAATGTCTTCGCCAAAAATATTTTGAATAGATTTTTTCATTATCCATTTGATTTTTGATATTTTTCTGTAGGTTTTTTGAAGTTCGTCTAAGTATTGTTTATCATTGACTTCCAAATAATGAAATTCACGTCTTTTGTACTTTAATGAATATTCCTCTATTTTTGGGTTTGAGCATCTTGAGCCAACACGAACAAGCTTTGATCCCCATCTTTGTTTACTATCTGGATCTAAGAAATTCACAATGCCTTCCATGAATTGATCCAGGGCATGGTTTGTATAGCAAACGATCAGCATAGCAGAAGAAGCCTCCTCTGTAAGGCGAGGAGGAGGGTATCTTCTAAAAGCGCCTCTAACTGGCAGCCTCTCATAAACTTTTTGTTCATTCATCCAATATGTTTTATTATGCAGCAATACCTTTGCTATGACTAGACCTAAATGTGTTTTGCCTGTCCCGGGTGGACCTTGTATAATAACAAATTCCCTTGTTAAGGCACATTTCAATGCTTGAAACTGTGATTCATCCAGATGAAGCTCTTCTGCTGAAGGCCATTCATCTGATAGTAGTCTGTATTGCTTTTTATCAACTCTGTGATTAAAAACCCTAAAAATAAAATTTTGATTAATAATTGGTTCTAAGTCATACTCGATTTCTTCATCCTCCTCTACATATGACGGGGGTTTTATGTCTTTACAACCCTCCACTATGTATCTCCTGAATGGAAGATCTTCTTCCTTTATATTCTGTAGGGAGGACAACACATGTTTGTAAGACTCGAAATAAGCTGAACTTTCCACCATAGTCATCGATAAGCCTAATGGGACCTCTAACTGACCTTTCCCCTTTCTCATGCTCACTTTGATGGTACAGTCTGTTTTGATTTTATCGTAGTCGGCATTTTCAATGACAGCAAAGTAGAGTGTATCAAAATTGTCGGGTGACAGGCAAAGAAGTGACCCATAAAGCAATCTTTTGCTTCTTTCCCATCTAACCCGACTAACTTGATATTGGTCTAATTTGATTTCATGGAGAAGACCATTGGTAGACTCTTCTTTGGAAACAATAGTTACATTTTTGTAGAGTTTGACATCCTGCAATCTTCTTATTTCTCTATTGGCATCTATTGTTTTTGCTTCAATGTATTCGAATATTCCACCTCTCAACTGAGCAATGCAGTCCTCCCTTAAAAGTCTAAACTGGATATCTAAGTAATGATCCAAATTGTCGTAAAACCCTTCTATCAAATTTTTTCTCAAAAAAGGTTCATGAAAAATATCATCCCTGGTGGGCAGTATTGGTATCTTGCGAAAATCATTAGGTGGTTTTCTCTTATCTTGTTTTTCTCTCCGTTTTTCTAATTGGGGTTTGATCAAGTTTTCAGAAATGCTCTTCTGAATATCTTCAATATCATTTTTTATGGCCAGTAGACTACTGTTCAGCCTTTCATCACTGTTCTGTGATATAAATCGTGTAATTGTGGAATTTAAATAATTACACAGTCCCAAGGAAGCTAGAGCAGTTGTTGGAATTTTGCTGCACAACTGTTGTAGAAATTTTACTAAATTATCTAATATTTCAAGCCATTCTTCATTGATTTCAGGTGATGTTACTTCGATTCTACTCAGAAGCCCAAGCGTTTGAGTGAAATATTTATCAGTCGATATCTCTGAGAGAACCTTGTTCACTTGCAGCTGCAATAGCGGGTCATCACAAGTGATAATTTTTGTAAAAACCTTCCAGAATAATACGGATTTCTCTGTACTGTTGAAATCGGAACTCGTCTCACGAAAGCGACTGGACGACCAAATAGGACTTTCTAAGATATGATGAACGGACAGACTTTGAAATTGTCTTAATTCTGAAACCGAGTAGGTTTTGATGTCCTTTTCCGAAGACATTATTCTGGTTAATTTCTGTGAAACAAATAAAGACAACTTACCTAATAATTAAAAAAGAAAGCCACAATACAAATTATGTGAACTGTTTGCATTTTTTTTATGACTGAAAAATAACTTTACCTTAGATGGTTCAAAAAGGATTTTTTTTTAAAATAAAAAATTGACATAAAGATATTCTTTCATTTAAAAACATTCATTAATAAGTACACTGTATATTAAGAATAAAAAAGTAGTTACCTTTACATGGATGCTGCTTTCACTTCATTCGCCTAATCGATGAAAATTCAGAAAACAAAATATAAGATTTTAATTTTGATTGTCAGAAGAACGCCAACAGATATGTCTAATATATTCATACCTACCTCATATGGCTTCTTTTTCCTTTACTGCTGGAGGTAATTCAGCTTCCAGATTTCATTTCTTCTATCAAGAACAAAAAGTCATTGGATATATATCTCAAGAGTTACAACTCCCTATACTATTTACCGGTATTAAAAACATATATATAAAGTAGACATAAGGAGCATAAAATTTGTGACAGAATTTCGAATTTCAATGGAGTAAAATTAAGTAATGTTCAGATCTACTTTTTGCAATCTAAAACTTTACATGTATCGACAAGAATGAAATAAAAGAAATGTAATCACTTGACTTGAAAACCTTCAATTGTTTAAAACATTTATTAATTAATATAGTAATCTGTAAGAAAATGAATTATTGAAATTATTTGCACATATTTGATATGCAGAAAACTCGTCTTTCAAATGAAATAAAGAGATAACGAACAGAAACTAATGCTAAGATCTCTATCGATATTTAAGATGTAGCTTCGTACTTTAAATGAACATATTAAAATTATTGAAATTAATATTTAAAATATATTAAAATTGTCCCATTAGTTCCAGGAATTCTGATCCCAGGAATCTTTGTTGTGGTTTTGCTTGTACAGACAACACTTAAATGTTGCTCACATTATTCATTAATGGTGTTATTTATTTGAACCTAGGTTTAATTATATAGAGATTGGTGTAATTGTTAACCTGTCTTCAATTCATTTAAATTTAGACCTATCTTTAATTCATTTGTACCCATCTTTAATTCAATTATACCTAATCTTAAATTCATTTGGAGATAGGTTCAATTATTTAAAGATAGATACAATTATATGAAGATAGGTTCATATTTGAATATATGTTAATTTCTTTTCTCTCAAACAAAGTGAACATTCAAGACGATAAACAAAACAATCTACCGCAGACCCATTCAGTTGACTCTAAACTATTGATTTGTCCGAGATTTCGTTAATAAAATGTCTTTTTATTTTATACCTTCTTCATTCTGATCTTTGTGAAAATCCACTCTTCAAATTAAATAGGTCTGGTAGATTTTCGTTTATACGTGATAAGTATTAATCAATTCAAATGCCTGTGCTTCAAGATTGACGCATTGTTGGCAAAGGGAACACCGAATTCCATTGACGCCATATTTATCTTTAAAATGCATTCACTGTGCACTCACATATATTTCACGACCAACCCCTCAAACTACCAGATGATTTATAATTTATAAATAAATCCGAAGACGGAAGTTTGATTTAAATTGAAAACTTTCAAATGATAAATGTAAAGAAAAAGATTATTCGATCGACTTATTTTTTTCACAATAGAAATATATCTTATTACTCATCAATCAACAATGCACCTGAAAACAAATACCCTTCCTTATTTAATTTATTATACATACCTATGTCTGTAATGATTTCTCTACTGCACATAATATACTGATCAACCTTATAGTTTGTCCACTTAGTACATGTATTTATGTATATAACCAACATCAATATCAAACAGAAACTACTCACTGAAGTGCAATTTGCAGTGAGTGCAGTAAAAATGCACCGTGTGGCCAAGGTTTCTAGTTTCGTTTTATTTTCCACGCACAGCTACGGCTTGATTTCAGAAAACGTGTTTTGTCGATTATTGATTGTGTTTGTCACTAGAGAATAAAAATTGATTCAGATTATAAAAATACCATGACAGCTATAGAAAAATGTATCAGGTACACAGGCACTTGTTTCTGTAATAATTTTTTCAACCCATAGTATTATTCCAAACATCCCCCATTGGGGGAGGGGGGGGGGGTAGTTGAAAGGAAACAGGTGTGATTTGAGCAACTGTGGGACAACTTTATCACATATTAATACAATTATGATTATGAGATGCAATTTTTTTTCTTAGATCTAATGCTTTTTAAGTAATTAAACATGTATGCTTCAATTCATTAATACGAAGTTAATAATAAAATAGAATATTTATTCAACCAATTTTGGCCCGCAGTGGAGCATAAAGATGAACAATGTCCGAAACCATAGTTATAAATAACAATAAACAGAACAAAACAAACAATTGTATAATGAACAGACAGTTAGCTGTCAACTTTTAGGATGCATAAAATGTATACAAATAGTATATGTATAATGACTGTAATATGCCTATATTGTACTATGTTGTTTTCTCATATTAAAATTTGCATTTTTAAACAGATCAACATTATTAAGGAGTATTAAATTTGGAAAAATTTTAAAGATTTTATTTTAAAACTCTCCTCTAGAATCATTATACAGTAAATTCTAGCAAAAATGTATTTCAACCTCAGTTGGACTTGCAGTATAGTAACGACAAACTCTTTCACACCTGGGAAGAATTTCATTTTTACCACATTTATTAAGTTTCTTTTAATATCGGCCCGTTTCTACCCTTAAGCAATGATTACTTATTCCGAATTTTGTGAGAATTACCCGATTGTCCCGGTTTTTCATATTCAAGTATTTTTCAAAATTGAATGACCTTTTTTACTATAAATATGTACTTAATTTACCAAATCCCTCTAAATAATTGGTACGGATATCTTTCTAAGAGTTAAAAAAAATTATTATGTAATTGCTTTTTAATGTACAATTTAAATTTGTTTTCTCTTAATTTTTTGCATAGGGACAAATCAATATGTAGTTTTTCACTGTAGAATAATATACTGGAGTACCAATCACTGTTGATGGTGTAATACTTGCACCCATAGAATGCTGCCTCGAAGTTTGGAGAAAATTGCTTCCTGAATATTTATCACCAATTCATACTTGAAATGGAATGTTGTATTAACGCAATCGAACTATAAAAACCAACAGATATCATTCTACATCTTTGTTGCGTTAAATGTACATGCAGTTTAGACTTTAGTATTTGGCGTCAAAAAGAGTACGGGGGCGCGGGAGGGGGGGGGGCTGAGTTTGCTCTCATTTCAATCCGATTCGTTTTATTCCCTGTAAATGGGTGAATTAAGAAAAAAATTACCAAACACATATTTATCAACTTGCAATAAAATTTCAGGTTATGGGAATAAATTTCCATGTCTAAGCATATGTCTTTTGATATTGTCTAAATACCTGCCAAATATCTCATTGATATCTCAATTCACAAAAAGTTATGCCCAAAAATGATGCTAAAAATGTCAGGAGTGCAACACCTTTTTGTGACATTTTGAAAATTTAATATTTTTTGAAGATCTGTGAAATAAATAATAATGGTTTATGTTGGGAAAAAAAAGACTTTCCTGATACTATTCAAAGTATTGAGCTTTAAATGTAGAGTGTAGCAACTTTTGTTTGACCAAGTTGTGATCATGGCTGATGTTGAAAAAATGTTATATACCATGTCAGGAGTGCAACAAAAAATGTAGTGTTGCCAAAAAACGTCGATTTTAGAAATCGCCAAGACAAAAAAGAATTTTCAAAGTGTAGAACAATAACTGATATACAATTTAAAACTTAAAAACAGAACAAGTTGTGATGTAAGTTTTGCTTCACAATTCTACTTAAAAGACTCCTATGCTCTTGGTCAGGAGTTCAACAAATATGTTTAAAATTATCGCTGATCAAATATGAATAAATATAAAGAAAAAAATTATGAGTAGAATGTTTTTGATAGACCTCAGTTGCTTACAGTGTTTGTCCCTTGGAGGACAATACACTATAAAATATATTTTATCTAAATATATATTTTAGCTAGTTTTTTGACATAAATAGGGAATAATTCAAGATATATTTAGTCAAGTTTAAATACTTTAATGTGTTTTGATTATGAAGTACTGAACTATAAATAGTGCAGAATTTCGTTACCACTTGATGTTTCAACACTTCATGAATTTTTGTATTCTATGTTATTAATTTTTAATTTTACTGCAGTCAGGAGTGCAACAAAACTGTTGTATAATTAACAATGTCTTCATGAAATATGTGGAGATAACGAACAGTATACGAGCTCAAAAGTCCATTAAACATTACAAAATAAGAGCAGAGCAAACACGGACCTCTAAAACGTAGAGATGGGATCAGGTGCCATGGAGGAGTGAGCATCCCCTGCAGACCGGTCACACCCGCCGTGTGCTCCTTGTCATGATCGGGAAATAACGGAAAAATCCGTCGACAATTCAGTGTGTAAATAATGGCCTAACAAATAGTATGAAAAAGTCAGTCAGCATTTGACTTAAGGTCAGACGACACGTTCCTCGAAAATATATGATTTTCCCCAAGAATTTGTCATTGAAGTATTGCTACTTAAACAAGTTTCCTCGCCAAAAATTAAGGTACCTTACCAGGCATTTAGGCAAGATACCAGAGGGTGATATTTCTTATATAATCCCTATGGGTAATGTTTTTAATTGCCAATGTAACAATTTTCGGTGTACTTATTTTCTAAAACATATTTAAAACAATTTAGAAATCACAAGAGAATGACAATTATGAATAATTATTGATATAACACCAAGATATACAAAACATATATTTGAGGAGCGTACGTGTCGTCTGACCTTAATGATAGATTATATTTGCTGACAAGGTCATTGTATCAACCATAGAACTTATGATATAATGATTTTAAACGAGACTGTTGATATTCCTGTTTCATCAACTTGTTTGCCAATAATTTACCTCGTTTTAGAAATTA